CCAGGACTAAACCAGGACTAAATCAGAGACTAAACCAGGACTAAACCAGGACTAAATCAGAGACTAAACCAGGACTAAACCAGAGACCAAACCAGGACTAAACCAGGACTGAACCAGGACTAAACCAGGACTAAACCGGGACTAAACCAGAACTAAACCAGGACTAAACCGGGACTAAACCGGGACTGAACCGGGACTAAACCGGACTAAACCAGGACTGAACCGGGACTAAACCAGAACTAAACCGGGACTGAACCGGGACTAAACCGGGACTAAACCGGGACTGAACCGGGATTAAACCGGGACTGAACCAGGACTAAACCAGGACTGAACCAGGACTGAACCAGGACTAAACCAGGACTGAACCAGGACTAAACCAGAACTAAACCAGGACTGAACCAGGACTAAACCAGGACTAAACCAGGACTGAACCGGGATTAAACCGGGACTGAACCAGGACTAAACCGGGACTAAACCAGGATTAAACCAGGACTGAACCAGGCCCCTCACAGACCACCTCCGAGAGAAGAACCTGGAGTCTGGGACGAGGAGAAAACACCACACGTTTAACTGAGTCTGCAGACACTCGTCGATATTTAAACTAGTATCAAAACTAGATCCTCATTTTTCACAGGTATCGATCCTAAAAAAGTCAGATTTTTAGGACAGAGCAGAACTTTTCCTGAATGTGTTTGGAATAATCTGGATCTGGAGCAGAACAAGTAGAAGAACACAGAGACGAGGATCAGGCAGCAAAACAGGTCAGGGGTGAAAAAAGTGTTTTTTGCAAACTGTGGGCAAGACTCTAGACCAAGAACTGTCCCAGATAACAGGGTCCCAACAAAGACCGAGACAAGATCAAGACTTTTAAAGACCGAGACAGAGACAAGACCGAGACCATGGCCCAGTGAAACCAAACCGAGAGCACTTTTGGCATTTTTCTACATTTATTTGTATTTTACAGTTATTCTGTACGGAAGCTCATCTCCACCAGGAAATAAAAAACAAAAGACTCAAAATTATGACTTTTAAACTCATAATTATGAGATTCTGTGAGGCTTTTATTTTTTATTTACTGGTGGAAATGAGCTTCCACAATTCTGGCACATGTATATCAGTGTTTTGTGTCGATGTCCCAATTTTATCAAATTAATGTTTATCAAATTAATGTTTGTTTAATTTAATTTTAATAACTTCCACTGGCACTTTACAGAAAACTGCTAAAGTGAAGGATGTGGGTAAAAGTTCCAAACTGGAGTCACTTTCTCTCACTGGTTTTGCAGTGGGGTTCAGCCTCTGCACATTTATCAAACCAAACACACGTCGTGACAAACACACATTTATTTGGCAAACTTCAGCCACATGTCGCTGTCTGTCTGCTGTGCCGACACTGTCACATAAAGTTTGATTTCACCAAAAGGTGAGAGATTTTCATGCCTGTAGTACACGCCCATGGACTTGGTTTAGTCCTGGTTTAGTCCTGATTCAGACCTGGTTTAGACCTGGTTTAGACCTGGTTTAGACCTGGTTTAGACCTGGTTTAGTCCTGATTCAGACCTGGTTTAGACCTGGTTTAGACCTGGTTTAGTCCTGATTCAGACTGGTTTAGACCTGTTTAGTTTAGACCTGGTTAGTGGTTTAGACCTGGTTTAGACCTGGTTTAGACCTGGTTTTGGTTTACCTGGTTTAGTCCTGGTTTTAGTTGATTCAGACCTGGTTTAGACCTGGTTTAGACCTGGTTTAGACCTGGTTTAGACCTGGTTTAGTCCTGGTTTAGTCCTGGTTTAGACCTGGTTTAGACCTGGTTTAGTCCTGGTTTAGACCTGGTTTAGACCTGGTTTAGTCCTGGTTTAGACCTGGTTTAGTCCTGTTTAATCCTGTTTTTACCTGGTTTAGTCCTGGTTTAGACCTGGTTTAGACCTGGTTTAGTCCTGGTTTAGTCCTGGTTTAGACCTGGTTTAGACCTGGTTTAGTCCTGGTTTAGACCTGGTTTAGACCTGGTTTAGACCTGGTTTAGACCTGGTTTAGTCCTGGTTTAGACCTGGTTTAGACCTGGTTTAGACCTGGTTTAGTCCTGGTTTAGACCTGGTTTAGACCTGGTTTAGACCTGGTTTAGACCTGGTTTAGACCTGGATCACAGGGGGATCGCACAGATGTACGGACACATGAGAACAGAATAAAAAGTTCTATCATGTAACAATAAAAATCACAGGAGATTGTTTTGTTTTTATTCTCAGAATCTGAACAGAAAATCAAATCCTCAAATAAAAAATCACATTTGCAGTTCAGGCCAAGGCTTAAAACTTAACTTAAAGCTGCACTATGTAACTTTTCTGGTGAAGAATCTGCCCTCTGCATATCTCCATGGTGATGTTCTTGCTTTGCCCAGAATGTTCCACACTATGACATTAAAGCATTAATCCAACATTCTCTCCTTTGGGAAACATTGATTCTTCTGATGAGTGGAGTCACCTTTCCACAGATCTGACCTGTAACTTGGCCTGGACACATGGAGGCTGTTTTCATGGAGACAGATAAGTTTAATGACGTAGTGTGGAATATTCCAGGTAAAGCGATAACATCTCCATGGAGACGAGCAGGTGTCCGGAAAAGTGACTAAAGTTAGTGCAGCTTTAACCTTTTACCTCAAACACCAACGAGGATTAACGTAAAAAACAAACAAACAAATAAATAATAAAAAAACAAACAAACAAACAAACAATCAAACAAACACAACGTCGTCTACAAAAACAACTACACCAACTAAACCAGTACTAAACTGAGACTAAATCAAGACTACATCAGGTCTAAACCAGGACTAAACCAGGTCTAAACCAGTACTAAACTGAGACTAAACCGGGACTAAACCAGAGAAAGTGTTCAAACTGACTCTGTGAGAGTCACTTTTAACACTCCACTTTTAGATTTCTATAAACATGTTCTTGAAGATCACTGGATTCTCGAAACTCCTGGACTTTTGATTTTAAACTATTACATAATTTAACTCCGGACCTAATTTAACTCCAGCCAGAGTCAAATGTTTGTGACGGGAATAATCCAGTTTTACCTGGTTCGGTCCGTAATCTCCCCCGGTGCAGATCCACAGCGCGCGGGGACGGAGCGGCTCTGTGCTCGGGCCGCGGGTCACGTCCACTCCGGGTCCGCTCAGGTCCACTCCGGGTCCGGTCACGTCCACTCCGGGTCCGGTCTCCTCCTCTCCCGGTGCGTCTTGTCCCCGGTGCGTCTTTGCCCCCGGTGCGTCTTGTCCCCGGTGCGTCTTGTCTCCGGGTCCGTGTCTCCGAGCGGCTTTCCGCGGAAGGATTAGCTCATGTCGGTGTGAAGAAGAACAGAGCCACAGGCCGAGTTCAGCCGCGCGCCTGGAAACTAAGAGGCTTAAACCAGGTGGACACGCGCGCACACACGCACACACACACTCTGTACACGCACACACGCACTCTGTACACGCACACACGCACTCTATACACGCACACACGCACACACGCACTCTACACACGCACACACACACTCTGTACACGCACACACGCACTCTACACACGCACACACGCACTCTACACACGCACACACGCACTCTACACACGCACACACACACTCTGTACACGCACACACGCACTCTATACACGCACACACACACTCTATACACGCACACACGCACACACACACTCTATACACGCCACACACACTCTATACACGCACACACTCTACACACGCACACACTACACGCACACACGCACACACACACACTCTATACACGCACACACGCACTCACACACTCACACACACACGCACACACACACTCTACACACGCACACACACACTCTATACACCACACACACACGCACACGCACACACACACTCTATACACGCACACACACACTCTATCACACACGCACACACGCACACACACACTCTATACACGCACACACGCACACTCTATACACTCACACGCACTCACACACGCACACGCACACACTCTATACACGCACACACGCACTCTACACACGCACACACGCACTCTACACACGCACACACGCACACACACACTCTGTACACGCACACACGCACACTCTATCACACACGCACACACGCACTCTACACACGCACACACGCACTCTACACACTACACGCACACACGCACGCACACACGCACACACGCACACACACTCTGTACACGCACACACGCACGCACACACGCACACACACACTCTACACACGCACACACGCACTCTATACACGCACACACACACTCTATACACGCACACACACACTCTGTACACGCACACACACACTCTATACACGCACACACACACTCTTCACACGCACACACGCACTCTATACACGCACACACAAACACTCACGCACACAAACAAACGCACTCACGCTCGCGCCCGTGTTGTTGTTTTGTGCGTGATTTCGCTTTTTACGCAGCGGGACGGTTCCAAACTTCATCAATGAACTTCTGTCTGCGCGTCTTAAAGATCCACACAACAAATTAACTCTGACAGAATCAGTTTTAACATTTTCTCAGTGTTTATCTGAGTCACTCTATTCTAGAGTTAATTTAACATTTTCGGAAATGTTCATGAAGTAAAACTGGACCAAAGTTCATGTTTAACCCCAAAATCCAGAGTTATATTCACGTTTTGAGAGTAAACAGATAACACTTTGTAGAGTTATCCTGATTTAACTAAACAACACACAGAGGTGTTTTATTTTTACACACAGTTGAATTAACACCAAGGAAAGTTTAATTAACACTAGAGGGAGTTGAATTAACATTAAGGAAAGTTGAATTAACACTAAAATAATTTAAATTAACACTAGAGGAAGTTGAATTAACTTCAACCACATCAACTCTGGCAAATACCTCCATCTCAAACTCCCATTTAACATTCAAAGAGTTAAAATAACACTTTTTGTGTTAAAAACAACTCTGAAATATTTCACCCTGAATTTTTAACTCTCCAGTTTTTGTGCTTTTAAGTCTTTTTCTGATAGATTTAAGTGTTTATATCTTAAATTTTGGCCCCGTTTTTTTGCAGTGTAGGTCAATGGAGATGAGCTGAAATGATGTAAATGATTCTAGTGAAGGTGTGTGGAGTTTAAAAACACAGTGGAGCACTTCCTGCATCACCACATGATGACATCACGAGGTGGAACAGAGTGTTTCTTGTTTGAGAGCAAAACTCAGCCTAAATGTGCAGGTTTGTGTGTTAAACGTGAGAATGAAACAAAAAAAACAGAACTCCAGGTCTGTTTGTGACGAGGAAATGACAGATTTTTTCCTTTGATGACAGTTTTTGTACCGTACTTTACTTGTTTTTACAAATGTTCCACTAGTTTTGTGGAGTTTTACGTCGACAATGTGAGACGAATAAAACATTAAATCATCAGTCATGTTTGTTTTGTTTTCCTTTCAAACATGTATGATCGTTAAAACCTGCCACGAACAAGAACTTTAACCCTTTTAAGAGGTGAGAAGACCAGGTCAGGAACAGCTGCAGGAGCAAATACTGGTTTTGTTCGTGTGGTCTGGACTTTTGTGGTCTGGTCTTTTGTGGTCTGGTCTTTTGTGGTCTGGTCTTTTGTGGTCTGGACTTTTGTGGTCTGGTCTTTTGTGGTCTGGTCTTTTGTGGTCTGGTCTTTTGTGGTCTGGTCTTTTGTGGTCTGGACTTTTGTGGTCTGGACTTTTGTCGGCTCTTCCTGTAGAACTAAAAAGAAACGAGACCGAAATGAAACGGCAGAAAGAACCGTTCTGTCCCGGTTTGTTTTGAAGTCCTGGTTTTGGTCCGGCTCCAGGACTCACCGATGACGAAAGTGAGTCAGAGCGAGATCTGGACTAAATCCAATAAAGTCCCGCGACAGAACTGGACGAGGACCAAAGGAGCCGCGAGGTCAGCCAGAGACCAAGTCCAGGCCCAGATCCAGGTTTACGACCGGACTACAGACGCCCCACGACGGGTCTGAACCAGATCGAGACCGAGACCGAACCAGGGCCGAACCAGGACCGAACCAGGACTAAACCAGGACTAAACCAGGACTAAACCAGGGACTAGGACTAAACCAGAACCAAACCAGGACTAAACCAGGACTAAACTAGGACTAAACCAGAACCAAACCAGGACTAAACCAGGACCAAACCAGGGACTAGGACTAAACCAGAACCAAACCAGGACCAAACAGGACTAGGACTAAACCAAACCAGGGACTAGGACTAAACAGGACCAAACCAGGACAAACAGGACCAAACCAGGATCAAACCAGGACTAAACCAGGACCAAACCAGGACCAAACCAGGGACTAGGACTAAACCAGAACCAAACCAGGACCAAACCAGGGACTAGGACTAACCAGAACAAACCAGGACAAACCAGGGACTAGGACTAAACCAACAGGACCAAACAGGACAGGACTAAACCAGGACCAAACCAGGACCAAACCAGGGACTAGGACTAAACCAGAACCAAACCAGGAAACCAGGACTAAACCAGAACCAAACCAGGACTAAACCAGGACCAAACCAGGGACTAGGACTAAACCAGAACCAAACCAGGACTAAACCAGGACTAAACCAGGACCAAACCAGGGACTAGGACTAAACCAGAACCAAACCAGGACTAAACCAGGACTAACCAGGACAAACCAGAGACTAGGACTAAACCAGGACTAAACCAGGACCAAACCGGGGACTAGGACCAAACCAGGATCAAACCAGGACCAAACCAGGACTAGGACTAGGACCAAACCAGGACCAAACCAGGACTAAACCAGGACCCAGGAAACCAGGACCAAACCAGGACAAACCAGGACTAAACCAGGAACCAAAACCAGGACCAAACCAGGGACTAGGACTAAACCAGAAACCAAAAACAGGACTAAACCAGGACAAACCAGGACTAAACCAGGACCAAACCAGGACTAGGACTAAACCAACAAACCAGGACTAAACCAGGACTAAACCAGGACCAAACCAGGGACTAGGACTAAACCAGAACCAAACCAGGACCAAAACCAGGGACTAGGACTAAACCAGGACCAAACCAGGACTAAACCAGGACAAACCAGGACTAAACCAGGACTAGACTAAACCAGGACCAAACCAGGACTAGACAAACCAGGACTAAACCAGGACTAGGACTAAACCAGGACCAAACCAGGACCAAACCAGGGACTAGGACTAAACCAGAACCAAACCAGGACCAAACCAGGGACTAGGACTAAACCAGAACCAAACCAGGACCAAACCAGGACTAAACCAGAACCAAACCTGGGACTAGGACTAAACCAGGACCAAACCAGGGACCAAACCAGGACTAGGACTAAACTAAACCAAACCAAACCAGACTAGGACTAAACCAGGACTAAACCAGAACCAAACCAGGACCAAACCAGGGACTAGGACAAACCAGGACAAACCAGGACTAAACCAGGACCAAAAACCAGGACTAGGACTAAACCAGGACCAAACAGGACCAAACCAGGACTAGGACTAAACCAGGAAACCAGGACCAAACCAGGACCCAAACCAGGAAACCAAACCAGGGACTAGGACTAAACCAGGACCAAACCAGGACCAAACCAGGGACTAGGACTAAACCAGGACCAAACCAGGACCAAACCAGGACTAAACCAGAACCAAACCAGGACCAAACCAGGGACTAGGACTAAACCAGGACCAAACCAGGACCAAACCAGGGACTAGGACTAAACCAGGACCAAACCAGGGACTAGGACTAAACCAGGACCAAACCAGGACCAAACCAGGGACTAGGACTAAACCAGGACCAAACCAGGGACTAGGACTAAACCAGGACCAAACCAGGACCAAACCAGGGACTAGGACTAAACCAGAACCAAACCAGGACCAAACCAGGGACTAGGACTAAACCGAAGTGAAATGACTCAGTCTTCGTAGCTGAAATAAATCACACTTTCCTCCTGTAATTTAATTTTAAACATTTATTTTTAAACACACGTCGATTTCGTTTCATTAAATACAAAAATTCACAAAAATAAAAAAAAATGATTCTTTCCAATAATTTACCAAAAAGTCGAACATTTTTAAAGAAGCAAAGATTATTTCACAAAAAAGCACTTGGGGGAAAAATCCGTTCTGTTCTCTGTACAGTTCCTCAAGCGACAATTAGAAAACGATGATACATTTAGTGACATCACAAAGTGGTTTTTCACGTCTCCGTTTCCTGTTTCATAATCTCTCAGTTTTACCTATAACACACCACGTTTTTAAATCACCGTTTTACATTTTATTCATTTGAAAATGTTATAGTCATTGAAATGTTGACACTTTTAGACTTCTCTCCCTGTGCTAAGTCGCTCCCCCTGCAGAGCACCATCCCAACACACTTTATATCGTGGTTTTGTTTGTATATTTGTGGATTATTGTCGTGTAGGAGCATGGAGGGGGGAGGGGACATGGGCTTGTGGGCAGAGCCTCGTACAAACTCGTGCTGCCGAACGTAAGGAGGGTTTGAGCAAGAGATCGCTAGATTACTCAGACATGCATGGATGTGACTAAAACGGCAGGCAGGTTTTTATAAAAGGAACAATGTTAGAGAGCGAGAAAAAGCTCCAAAAAGTCCAAAAAGTTACTGAAATAAACCTGGATAAGCCCCTCCCCCCTCTGCCTCTGGTGGTCGGTCTTGGTACTGCAGCTCCGGGAGTTTGGGCCCAGACCTGCCCGTGTTCTTCAGGGTGTCCGGATTTCACAAAGGTCAGATTTTGTAGGATTAATTTCCGTTTTTTACAAGATAAACTTAAATTCTCAAAGCTCCTAAAAGTGAGTTTTGTAAAGCTGCGTTCAGTCCGCGGCCTCCAGGCGTCCAGTTTATGTGCAAAGTCTGTGTGGACATGTATCTAAGGCGTCTTGCGTTTTTTTGCGGCGCGTCTTCAGGCGTCAGAGCTGCGAGAATCTGGAGCTGACGTGGCGCTTCCAGAGCGTCGACGTCAGAACTCGAAAATGCTGAAGTTTTGGCGTCGAATGCGCCGCGTCAACCAATCAGGGACGATTAATAACGCAGTGACACTATTACCCAGAAGAAGGAGAAGAACGATAAAGATCCGGGAGCCACAAACACCAGAACGTGAAATCTACGCCGAAATCTAAAGTTTCTCGATTCGGAAAACGTTCGCCGACCAGAGCGGACGCCATCGACACGCATCAAGAATTTCTCTCCTGTTCGTCCACGGTGTCCAAAAACTGAAATGTAAAAGCTCCAACTAGAGGTGTCAAGGGCGTTTTTTTGACGTTCTCGCCGCTCTGAGTCAAGCCCCGGGGTTTCAAAATGTTCGCCCATTCAAGTCACTGGGCTGAGCTCAATGTCTCATGACTCCAGATTCTCCTCCACCCGGTGAGGTTCTTCCGGTGTCTGTGGACCAACTGAGCATGTGCAGTAGAGTCTTTTCTCCTGTGAGCACAGGCCGACGCACATGAACACACACACGCAGCACGGCTCAGGTATCACATGATCACTTTGACCAATCGGAGCGAGAGGAGCAGAGCAACGCAGTAAAGTGTGTTTACCTTGTGGTCCATCAGGTCTGACCACGCCCACAGGAAGTAACAACAGCTGATGTACAACACGTCAACACCAACACCAGGACAGATCTGAAGACGCAGCAGCAGAAACATGTCAACAAGGTAAACACACTTTACTGCGCTGTCTTTAAAAAGAACGCAAGAAGTTAAAGTTATTTTTCAAAGTTGTAGTTCCCTGTCAGACCAACACGAACAGTTTGTGTTTTCTTTGCCTCCATGAGAAAAATCTTGTCTCGGCCCAGTGGATTTTTTTCCGCTGTAGAACCAGTGAGAGACTCTACGACGACTGGAGGACGAAACAAGCAACAACACAATATCCAGATATTTTAACAGATCCAAAGCTCTGAGTCGCGCTCACTCCGCTCCAGCAGCTCTCGCTCTGATTGGTCCAAACGTTCCACACCGTGCACGTTACAGACGTCACACAAGTGGGAGGAGCTCGACCGGATTCAGGAAGTAAATGTGGAAGAGGAAATTATTTTTGGGCCCATGAGCCGATGACACAGACCCTGAAAACAACACGACCCCAACCTGGATTCATCTGCAGATTTGATTAAAGTTCTGTGGACTGTTTCTCTTTCTTAAAGCAATAACATGGAGCATCGGCAACCTGTAAGATCTACTGACTGTTGGTCGTACAAACAGCAGAGGGCGCGAATATGATCATTTGCCCATTTGTCAGCCATAAACTGCTCAGGCCTAAAAGTCGACAAAGAAGAACGAGTCACTCAGTTTCAACACGAGTCAAAGACGTCAAACAGAAAACGTTAAGGACGGGAAAAGATTGAAGACAAAAGAGCGAAGTCCCTTTGAAATGAAGTGAATTAGATGTTTTTTTTAAATAAACAGAATCAGAAGTCGTTCATTTTTGTCTGTTTTCTTCAATTATTTCATTATTGATTTACTGAAATTATTAATTATTAATTATTTAAATGACAAAAATCCTCCACATGGTCAGACTTTTTGTGTTTTTTAAATTTTTTATCCCAGTTCGTCCCAGTCCAGGAGTCTCAGTATTCTGTTTCATTCACTGGTATTTTTATAAGAAATCTCCAAAAGTCAAATCCACACCGTGTTTTTTTTTCCTCCTGATCATTTCTATTAATTTCAAGTTCCACTCTCGCGCCTCTGAACTCGCTGCAGTTTCATCTTGTAGTTTAAATCTCCGCTCTGTGTTCTGATGTGAATATTGGATAGTCGTCCACGCTTCTAATTATTCAAACTGAGATTAACTCCAGACTCTCACCCACAAAACAAACACGAACAAACTTTTAAATATAAATAAATAACACAGATAAGATAAAGGTGGAGTGGTTCAGATGCTGCGGTCTAAAGTCTGCGGCGACTCTTTACTCTACACAAACACTGGCACTTTTTATGTTTCCCAACAACCCAAAACCTGCAAAGATCCTCCAGCTCAGGTCCAGACCAAGACCAGACCGTGACCTGGACACGAGTTCCACAAAATAAAGAAAAAAAAAAAAGAGGATAATTTTAAATAAGAGTCTGACGGAGGAGCCACGATTTTTACACAGAAACTCAGCTCCAATCAGAACTCAGAGGAGCCGCTTCGTGCTTCGGACACAGATATTTGGTCAGTTGTGTCCATTTATTTGCACAGTCCACCTGCTCCTGACACGTTTAACCCGGAGACACTGAAGGACGGGTCAAACGCAGAGGAAAAGTCGACCTGAACCTTCATGGAATCAAGTTTGAGTCAAAAAGTTCAAAGACGATTTTAAAACGTCAAGTCAAAAAAGTATAAATCAAAATACCAAATAAAAAATATAACAAAAAAAGTAAAATGAAATAAATACATTTTCAATCAAATATTTGTGTAATCGTGTAAAATATCCATGTTTATCTCTTTGGAAACTGTTTTCTTTGGGTTAATTTAATATTTTTGGGTCTGATTCTTCTCATTTGCACTCTGACTTTTTGGTGCAGTTTTGGCACAAACGTGACACAAACGTGACACAAACGTGACACAAACGTGACACAAACGTGACACAAACGTGACAGGTGAGCGGGGTTTCCATGGGTGTATTCACATTTACACAATGTATGTAATTTACGGTCAGCTAAGCCGCGTACGCAGATAAGCTTGGCGCCTGCCCCTGAAGCTGTTGTGGACGTTTCCTGTTGAAGTTTTGACGACTGAAACACAAACAACAAGTTTGTCCAGAACTGACACTGTATAAACAGAATCATGATGTTCCTGAAGAAGCGTCCACCAGAGAACGGTGAATATTAGAAAAGCTCTGAGCATCAAAACTTCAACAGGAAACGTCCACAACTGCCAAATTCGGCCCTCAGACAATTTTTTCTTGGCCCTTAGGCTTCCAGGTGAATTGGGCCAAATTACCTGCAATTCACCTCAATTAAAAAAAAATTTTTTTTTTACTGCAAAATCACCTTGATAAAGCGAATATTTAATATTTAGTGTGTGGTTTTAAGGATCTTATCCTGAATGAAGACTGATGACTCATTCTAACGTGTTCAACATGCACAGATTTCAATTATTCACTGTACTGAGCTCCAGTCTCCGGCCCTCGATCAGTCTCTGCTTCGTCTGTGTTTACATATGTGGCCTTTGATGAAAAAAGTTTGGACGCCCCTGGTCTAACTTAAGGTTGAATTATAGTTCTGTGTCGACTCAACGCACACTGAAGCCATCGCCGGTATTTTTAATTTATGGATCTGCGTTGGGGTCTATGCGCCGTGAAGTAATTAAAGTGGCGTTCGTGTTTACAAAATGAAGTGGGAAAGCGGAGTACAGGAAATGCGTGTAGAGCCGACCAATCACAGCTCTTATTATCGATGTGTAGTTACAAAATTTGGGAGTTTCACGTTGGTCGACACAGACGCTCTGCAGAGGAGGTTCAAGGAGACGCAGACGATTTAACACACTACTATAAATTGGGCTTTAGCTGTCCAACATAAATGAGCCAATGAGAATCCACCATGGAAACCCCGCCCACCTATCACGATTGTGCCAAAACTGAAACCAAAAAGTCCAACGAGAAGAAGAATCAGAATCAAAAAGTCCAACGAGAAGAAGAATCAGAATCAAAAAGTCCAACGAGAAGAAGAATCAGAATCAAAAAGTCCAACGAGAAGAAGAATCAGAATCAAAAAGTCCAACGAGAAGAAGAATCAGAATCAAAAAGTCCAACGAGAAGACTGGAATCAAAACCAAAGAAAAAAAACGTCATCAAACAAAACTGAGAAAAACACAGAACAAAAATAAAGACGGATATTTTACACGATTACACAAATAATTTGATCACAATCTTACATATTCTATTTATTTAGTTTTTGGCGTTTTGATTTATAATTTTTCGCTTGATGTTTTAAAAGTGTCTTTGAACTTTTTGACTCAAAATTGATCCATAAACGTTGCCCGTCGCATTTAGATATTAATATTTTCTCTTAGTTCCACCGTTGGTTTAAACACATTCTGAACTTGACAAAAGCTTTTTTCAGTTTAATCTCTAAATAAACTTAAATAATTTTCATTTTCTTAAACTTAAACGGTCAGATACAGTACGAGACACGGCTACAGCGTCGGGGGTTTGGAGGAGGCGCGGTGTGTGAACGGAAACGACCCAAATGACTGATTCAGGGTTCGTTCGGCAGATTTAAATCCAGATGGAATGATACTTTGCGGTGACGTCACGCTGGGGGTGTCCTGCATGTACTTCTATGGTGGAATGTTCAGCAGTTTTGATAATGATGCAATACACACTGTTTTTAAATCATCTGAAAACTCGAGAAATTATACCACAAAAAATGAGATTTGAACCAGTGACCTCCCCGGCTTTTGGCTTCCGGTTTCACACAGCGCCCCCTTTAACACAGCGTCCCCTCTCACACAGCGCCCCCTTTAACACAGCGTCCCCTCTCACACAGCGCCCCCTGCTGTCTCAGCTCGGTTTAAACGCCCCAAATTACACCGTGTTCTGATCCGTTCTAATGTTTCCTCGTCACACACAGAGCTGGAGTTGTGTGTTTTGTTTCATTCACATGTTTAACGCACAAACCTGCACATTTAGACCGAGCTCTTCTTCTTAGAATCCATTTTAGATTGACTTGTGGCTGTTTCCTATTGGTTCTCATTTGTGGGCGGGGCTTGAGGTTTTGATGAGGCTGATTCTGACCAATCAGATCGCTTCACTGCACCATTTCCTGCTGTTACTAAGTTAGATCGGATCATTTTGGATTTTTTTTATTTCTTCTTTGCCACGATTTTTTTTGCACTGCGAATTTTACACTTTGAATTTTGACTGCTGAATTTAAAAGCTTGAAAATATTTAATTGGTGATTTTTTTTTATACTTTTGAATTGTAAACTCTTTGAAAATACAAAATACACTTTAAGTTTCAGCAACTAAAATTCAGAGTAAAAATTATTTAAACATGTTTTTCCAGAGATAAAAAATTCAAAGTGTGAAATTCAGAGGCATTTAAATTTCAAAATCAGATGAAATCAATAATTTTCCATATCGGTGCGGCTTATAGTCTGAAATATACGGTACTTAAATACGTGTGAATGAAAAAAACACAACTCCAGGTCTGTTTTTGAGGAGGAACATTAGAACACGTCGTCTGAGAGTCGGTTTTCTGTAATCGAGTTTTAACCCCGTTGAGCTTTTGCCGCCGTCTTTGGTTTCCCGTAGAAGTTTGTCTCGGCTCCTTCACCATTTGACGAGGACGAGGGCGGCGAGCGTCCCGTAGCCCAGGACCAGGAACAGCACTTTGAGAAGCCGGTCCTGTTTTTCCTCCAGCTCCGGCCCCAGGATCTCGAAAAACGTCACAAACAGGAAGGTCCCGGCGGCGAGACCCTGCAGCACCACGGAAACGATGCGTCCCGCCAACGTCTGCGCCGACTCGATGCTGATCCCCACCACCACGCCCAGCGGGATCATCAGGCTCACCATCGCGCCCAGCTTCGCCGCGTCCCGCATCGCCAGCGACGCCTTGGCGACGCTGACCCCGAGCGCGACGGCGGCGAGCGTCTCGTGCACGGCCACGCCCAGAAACAGGCTGCCCAGCTTGGAGACGTCGTTCTGCAGGCCGAGCGCGAGCCCTTCGAAAACGGAGTGCGCGGAGAGGGCGAGCACCAGGCTGATGAGGCGCAGGGGCCCGGCGGCGGCGAGGTGGGCGGGGTCGAAGTGGGAGTGTCCGTGGTGGCGAGGGGCGGGGCCGGAGATGAAGGGCGTCTCGTACTCGGAGTCGCTGCCCGCCTCCGAGCCGCCCGCGTTGAACGTCTCCAGGTTTATGAAGGACGGACGCTCTTTTCTGAACGTCAGAATCGTCTGCTCCACGAAAACGGTGAGGAAGAAGCCGAGCATCATCATCGTCTCCGCCAGAGGGTAATCGGACGTCAGCTTCAGCTCCGAGAAAACCTCCGACACCTGACGAGGAACAAGGAGAACAAGAAAACTGAAAGTGTGAGGAAATACACTCACAAAACTCTGCAGAACATCAGTTTGTCACGTAGTAGTTAGAGGTGTAACGATACTCAAGTCTCATGATACGATATTTATTGCGAAAGATCAAGATATTACGATATTCTACATAATAACAAGACTGACATTATAAAATACTTTGACCAACATTTATTGTCAGTTTCATATCAGTGATTTTTTTGAACAGCGTGAAAAGAATTTAACGTTCAAGTGTAAAATTCAAGTAACAAATAAACAAAGTTCTAGTACGACTTTGGTAAACTACGAAACCGCGACGCTTGATGGATTGTCGGAGCGTTAGGACGACTGTAGCCAGGAGCCTTTAGTCCGACAAAAGCTGAACCGCATCAGCGCAAAGAGCGAGCTGTTTTTTTTTTTTTTTAAGGTTTATGTAAATGAGTCATGTGGTTTTAAGTTTAGTTTCTGTAAAACATAAACAAAGCTGCGTTAAACACATTATTACTCAATGTATATTTGAATTATTGTCCTTGTAGGAAATTAAAAAAACAAACTTAAATCTGAGAACATTTTATATTTGGGCTCCAGTTTATCCTCTGAGCTTTTAAACGTCATTTCCGTGGAAAATGGATCAAATCTCTCTTTATATTCTGTGATGTGTTTAATTATTTCTTGAGCTGTTGTAAATGCTTCACGTAGAGTTTTTTGATTTTCTGAACACATTCTTGAACGTTTTCGTCGTGTGGGTTTATGGAGGTTCTTCTCATGTTGTAGTTTTTCTCGAGCTGAACCTCACGCTGCGTTGTGTCTACTCTGATTTGAGTTTGTCCGTCACCTTTTCTCTTTTCTCATTTCGTGTCACGACAAAAACTAAATGTTTCCTCAGACCTCAGACTTAAAGCCTCTGGTGCATCCGCAATGGGCACACAGGCTGACGACGCGACCGCAAAGGATTATGGTCCATGTAGTTCACTGTGAGCCACAGGAGCGACTGAAACTTTTAATTTTTGCGTAAAGACTCACAGTTTAATACGAGACGAAACCACGACGACAACGAGGCAATTTTACTACGATGACGATATCGTGATATCACCAAATCATTACACCCCTAGTACTACTGCAGTAGTAGTAGTAGTAGTAGTAGTAGTAGTAGTTGTAGTAGTAGTAACAGTAGTAGTCGCTTGTACCTTATCTCTGACGGTGAGCATCAGTATTAGTAGTAGTAGTATTTGTAGTATTTATAGTAGTAGTAGTACCTTGTCTCTGACGGCGGGCATCAGTAGTAGTAGTATAATAGTAGTAGTAGTAGTAGTAGTAGTAGTAGTAGTAGTAGTAGTAGTAGTAGTAGTAGTAGTAGTAGTAGTAGTAGTAGTAGTAGTAGTAGTAGTAGTAGTAGTAGTAGTAGTAGTAGTAGTAGTAGTAGTAGTATTTGTAGTATTTGTAGTAGTATTTGTAGTAGTACCTTGTCCCTGACGGCGGGCATCAGTAGTAGTAATAGTAGTAGTAGTAGTAGTAGTAGTATTTGTAGTATTTGTAGTAGTACCTTGTCCCTGACGGCGGGCATCAGTAGTAGTAGTAGTAGTATTTGTAGTAGTACCATGTCCCTGACGGCGGGCATCAGCAGTAGTATTTGTAGTAGTATTTGTAGTAGTACCTTATCCCTGACGGCGGGCATCAGTAGTAGTAGTAATAGTAGTATTTGTAGTAGTATTTGTAGTAGTACCTTGTCCCTGACGGCGGGTAGTAGTAGTAGTAGTAGTAGTAGTAGTAGTAGTATTTGTAGTAGTATTTTTAGTAGTACCTTGTCCCTGACGGTGGGCATCAGTAGTAGTAATAGTAGTAGTAGTAGTAGTATTTGTAGTATTTGTAGTAGTACCTTGTCCCTGACGGCGGGCATCAGTATTAGTAGTAGTAGTAGTAGTAGTATTTGTAGTATTTGTAGTAGTACCATGTCCCTGACGGCGGGCATCAGTAGTAGTAGTATTTGTAGTAGTAGTACCATGTCCCTCACGGCGGGCATCAGTAGTAGTAGTAGTAGTAGTAGTAGTAGTATTTGTAGTATTTGTAGTAGTACCTTGTCCCTGACGGCGGGCATCAGTAGTAGTAGTAGTAGTAGTAGTAGTAGTATTTGTAGTATTTGTAGTAGTTCCATGTCCCTGACGGCGGGCATCAGCAGTAGTAGCAGTAGTATTTGTAGTAGTATTTGTAGTAGTACCTTATCCCTGACGGCGGGCATCAGTAGTAGTAGTAGTAGTAGTAGTAGTAGTAGTGGTATTTGTAGTAGTATTTATAGTAGTACCTTGTCCCTGACGGCGGGCATCAGTAGTAGTAGTAGTAGTAGTAGTAGTAGTATTTGTAATAGTATTTGTAGTAGTACCTTGTCCCTGACGGCGGGCATCAGTAGTAGTAGTAGTAGTAGTAGTAGTAGTAGTATTTGTAGTATTTGTAGTAGTACCATGTCCCTGACGGCGGGCATCAGTAGTAGTAGTAGTAGTAGTAGTAGTAGTATTTGTAGTAGTATTTGTAGTAGTACCTTGTCCCTGACGGCGGGCATCAGTAGTAGTAGTAGTAGTAGTAGTAGTAGTAGTAGTATTTGTAGTAGTATTTGTAGTAGTACCTTGTCCCTGACGGCGGGCATCAGTAGTAGTAGTAGTAGTAGTAGTATTTGTAGTATTTGTAGTAGTATTTGTAGTAGTACCTTGTCCCTGACGGCGGGCATCAGTAGTAGTAGTAGTAGTAGTAGTATTTGTAGTATTTGTAGTAGTATTTGTAGTAGTACCTTGTCCCTGACGGCGGGCATCAGTAGTAGTAGTAGTAGTAGTAGTAGTATTTGTAGTATTTGTAGTAGTATTTGTAGTAGTACCTTGTCCCTGACGGCGGGCATCAGTAGTAGTAGTAGTAGTAGTAGTATTTTGTAGTATTTGTAGTAGTATTTGTAGTAGTACCTTGTCCCTGACGGCGGGCATCAGTAGTAGTAGTAGTAGTAGTAGTAGTAGTATTTGTAGTATTTGTAGTAGTATTTGTAGTAGTACCTTGTCCCTGACGGCGGGCATCAGGGCGTTGAAGCAGGTGGCGAGGAAGACTCCGCCCCCGAAGGCGTTGCACAGGGACAGCGCTCGTCTGTACCTCTGCGCTTTCTCATGATCGACCAGCAGGAGGCGCACGGGGACCAGCACTCCTCCCAGCACCAGCACGAACATTCCCAGCATGCCGAGCAGCTTCACCGCTAACAACTGCATCCTGACGCCCGACACCTGACACCCGACACTCCGAGAACTACAGCATCACCTACGGGCCTGGAGGAGAGAGAACGTCACTACAGCGTCACTACAGCGTCACTACAGCGTCACTACAGCGTCACTACAGCGCCACTACAGCGCCACCTACAGCGCCACTACAGCGTCACTACAGCGTCACTACAGCGCCACCTACAGCGTCACTACAGCGCCACTACAGCGTCACTACAGCGCCACCTACAGCGCCACTACAGCATCACCTACGGGCCTGGAGGAGAGAGAACGTCACTACAGCGTCACTACAGTGTCACTACAGCGCCACCTACAGCGCCACTACAGCGTCACTACAGCGCCACCTACAGTGCCACCTACAGCGCCACTACAGCGTCACTACAGCGCCACCTACAGTGCCACTACAGCGTCACTACAGCGTCACCTACAGCGCCACCTACAGCGCCACTACAGCATCACCTACGGGCCTGGAGGAGAGAGAACGTCACTACAGCGTCACTACAGCGCCACTACAGCGCCACTACAGCGCCACCTACAGCGCCACCTACACTGTCACTACAGCGTCACTACAGCGCCACTACAGCGTCACTACAGCGTCACTACAGTGCTACTACAGTGTCACTATAGCGTCACCACAGCATCATCACAGCGCCACCTACAGGTCTGGAGGAGAGAGAACGTCACTACAGCGTCACTACAGCATCACTACAGCGTCACTACAGTGCTACTACAGTGTCACTATAGCGTCACCACAGCATCATCACAGCGCCACCTACAGGTCTGGAGGAGAGAGAACGTCACTACAGCGTCACTACAGCGTCACTACAGCGTCACTACAGCGTCACTACACAGCACATATCCAGATCCACATATACACATATCACAGGTTTAACTTGACCCTGTTGGAGTGTAACTCTTTCCTACATTCTGATACTTTACTTATTTCAATAGTTCCTCTAATTTCTGAATAAGAGACATTTGAATGTCAAAAATCTGACCCTCTTTCCCTCCGTTATCACTTGACCAGACCCAGATGTACATGTGTATATAATGTGTACGTCGGTATGTATATATTATATATGTGCACATAATTTACATATATTTGTTGTTGTTGTTAGATTTGTAATGCAGTGCAGGTACTGTGCAATTATTGCTTATACTGTACAGGAAATGAGAAGTCTATAAGTTATTTGTTAATTTGGGACGGTAGAAAAAAGGGATGGGGTTAAATAAGTATTTACTTCCTTCCACTCCTTTTTCGGACACAAGGAAAATTCAGCGTAACACTTATTTTGCCTGTTATTATAGAATAGAAAAAATTACTTTTTGTGTTATATCTATGTATTTACGTTTTTTTATTTATGTTCTATGTATTACTGTCCGAATAAACATTCATTCATTCACTGTGACCCAGACTTTGGGAACAGTATTTTAGTCTCTGTGTCTTATTCTTGTTCTGATCCAGCTCCAGTTCGTTCTAAACACATTGAGGAAAGGTTCTGCTCTGTCCTGAAAATGGGACTTTTTTAAGGCTCCAGACCTGAGGAAAACGAGGATCTAGTTTTGATTCTTTTTTTAATATCGATTCGTGTCAGATTTGCCATTTTAAACAAACCTCAGGATCAAGGATTTACAAAAAATGTCTCAGTGTGATTTTTCCCCCCAGACAAACACTGTGAGCACGATTTGCAATTTATGTTAAGAGTTACACATTTTAAACCCGTCCAGGAGCATTTTACATTTGAGAAAAAAAAAACAACTGAAATCTGAACTTTAAACTATTCCAATAATCCAGAGCATTTCAGAAAAGATTTTTAGGTTTTTAAACTCCAGACACAGAATAAAACCGGATCATTCTGCTCTAACTTCATCTCCTGCCTCTCTACATCCACACATCTCCTCTTTTCCTCTTTTCCTTGCACCTTTTAGATTAGATTTTCGATGTAAACAAAGTAAATTAAATATAAAATCCGCTCCGGTTTCTCCGCGTTACTTTGTCGTTAGCTCCGTTTTAGCTTCAGGCGCTAAAGTGCGATCTCACCAAGGAAAGGAACTAAAAACACACAAATACGACACACAAACGTAGTAAAGGTAAAGATGCGCGGGACAGACGTGAAATCGCGGCGTTTTTACCTGAAAAATCTAAGTTGGGTCCGTTTCCCGAAGCGGAGCAGGTGCGCAGAGACACTTCCGCGTCCGTCCAACTGCGCCGCTCTGATTGGTCAAACGGAGTAGTGACGTAGATTACGTAATGTTTACCTTTTTTTTTTTTTTTTTTTTTTTTTTTTTTTTTTTTTTTTTTTTTTGTGCTGATTAATATAAATTCTGTGTATTTTAAGGACAGATGTAAAATAATTTAATCGTTAAAACATGCTCATTAAAAAAATAATAAATACATACATAAATCAATAAATAAATGAATTAATACATTAATAAATAAATCAATAAATAAATGAATAAATACATAAATAAATAAATGAATGAATAAATAAATACATAAATGAATAAATAAATGAATTAATACATTAATAAATACATAAATAAATAAATGCATAAATAAATACATATATGAATAAATACATAAATTAATGAATAAATAAATACATGAAGGAACAAATATGTGCATAAATAAACACATAAATAAATGAATAAATAAATAAATGCATAAATAAATACATAAATGAATAAATCAATACATTAATACATTAATAAAAACATTAATAAATACAAAAATGCATAAATATATACATAAATAAATGAATTATTTAATTAATTAATAATTTGATAAATAAATACATAAATTAATAAATGCATAATTAAATACATAAATGAATAACTAAAAACATAAATAAATACATACATAAGTAAATCATGTATATATTTTGATTTCCAATTATGTCGTTAATCACTTTTTAAAACAACCTGAAGCTTATTTCACCTTTTTATATTTAAAATAATACAAATGTACAAGAGGAAAACGTGCGGAAGTGAAAGAAAGTCATTTAGATTTAAACGTGAAGTCAAAAAGTTTGGAGATAAAAACTCGCGGGTGGAAGGAGGTGGAGAAACTAAACACCGAGAAATCAAGTAACAATAACGTCACCTCAAAATAATATTACTCAAGTAGAAGTACAACGTCGTGGTCCAAGGAATTACTCAAGTCAGAGTAAAAAAGTATTTGGTAAAAGTACTACTCAAGTAAAAGTACTTACTGTATATACATTTATATAATTTATGTTTTATTAATACCAGTCTCTTGCTGTTTTTATTGCTACTTATTTAGAAGTTTATTACCATTTTTATTTAATATAATTTACCATTTTCTTTATCATTTATATTTAATTTAATATTTTATTTATTTATTTATTTTTTAACTCTGTGTTATTGTAATCTATTGTGATGTGTGAGTTATTGTGTCCAAGTCATTTCCCCTGTGGATCAATAAACTCTGTCCAAGTCTAGAGAGAAACTGTCAGGACGTAACATCTGATTTATCATTTAAAAAAATAAAAAATAAAAAGTGAACGTGACAAAACATGAAATAAGTGACAGAATCTGGTGTTTTCAAAGAACAGACACAAAAATGAGACAAACTAAATCAGAAGTGAAGCAGCTGCGACAAACACAAATGTTCAAATCGTTTCATTTTGTCACGTGAAGCTTTTGTCACTTTAGACTCACTCACAGTGGGAAGAGGAAGCACAACTTTTACTCCAGTAACACTACAAATATTACTCGAGTAGGAGACTAGAAAAGTACTCTGAAAAGTCCAATGTAAAAGTGACTGGAGTAAATGTAGCTGAGTCGTCGTCTGAACAGTGAACTTTGACTCACAGTTTGACTTTCTACAGTTTGAACGGCGTCTTTTATTGCTCGATTATTCACAGGGTTTTATTGTGTTTTACTCTGACAGGTTCAACACACGACACGTTTCATCACATTTCATTTGGAATTTAATGTTTTTATGTTCAGACACTTTACACACAAGAATTCAACAGCAGAAACATCACTTTAAAAAAGAACAGGCTCATTTCTGTTGAGATTAAAATAAATGATTTCAACAATAACTGTTTACATCATATTTTGATCTGGTAAAGTTTTTATTTTTTTTTTGTTTTTTTTTATGGTTGAAAATGAAAATGACAGTTAAACAGTTGTAAAATGATCTTATACATAGTAATTTTATAAAAAAATAAAATCATAACAATGTTTAAAAAAAAAAAGGTTTATAACCGTTTTAATGAGCTTCACTGGAAAATATTTTAATTTCTTTGGTTTTAGCGTCACCAGATTTACCAACATTGAAATAAGGAAACATTTTCTCTGTGAATCTGTGTTTGTGAGAGCAGATCAGAGACATGTCACCAGCGTCAAAGAAAAACACTTCCCCTTCATCACAGTCCAGTCGAACTCGGATCCTCTGAGGTCTCCTCTTCAGGGACAGAGTTTTACCAACAACATCAATGTATTCTCCATCTATAAAACCTAAACACCAGAATCCATTTTCTATATCAACACAAATGTCTCCCTTCCTGTCGACAGATTCTTTGGCCAAACCAATGGCCCAGTATGGATGATCTCCCACCTCCACGTCCCACTGGTGAGAGCCAGAGCTGAAGCCCTCACTGCCCAGAACATCTGCATATTTACAGAATCTCTCTGGATTTTCAGGGACCTGTTGTTCAGTTTCTCCACGTCTCACCCCCCTCAGATCCTCAGACAGATGGAGTGCACTGCCTGCAGTGTTTGGGTCCAGAGTGACTGGACTGTAGCTCACCAGGGCTCTCATCTTGTTCCAGGCGTTGAAGGCCACGTTGGCCAGGACTTTGGCCTGGTTTATCAGGAGTCCTGGTCCCAGCTGTGGGCTGTGCTGTGAGAGCAGAGTCTGTGTGTCTTTGTGAGTGTGTCTGTACTGTGTGAGAAAGTCCACGCTCTGTCTCTGCAGTAGATCTTCCACAGTCTGGAGGTTCTGCTCCATAGTACACAGCTCCTCCCTGATCTGCTGTAGCTGTGCTTCTATGGCCTGGGCCTGTCTGCTCTGCTCCTGTCTCAGAGCTCTGAGCACAGACTCCTCCTCCTGTTGGAGGAACCGGTGTAACCGCTCAAACTCCGCCCTGATGTGGCGTTCACAGAGCTCCACCTGCGCGTGTGCCAGCTCCTGTATTTGCTCACACTGAGTGTGTGCGTGTGAGACCTGCTCTCTCCTCTGGGACAGAGACTGCTGCTGTGAGCGCAGCTGCTCCTTCACTTCACTCACAGCTGAGTCCACAGACACCACCTTATGCCCCGAGTGAAGAGAGAACTCACACACAGGGCACAGAGGGCGCCTCTCGTCCAGGCAGAACAGAGGAGTCTGCTCTGGGTGTGAGGAGCACACCACAGGCCTCTCTCCTCCTGGAGCCTGCTCCTTCTGTGTAAAGGACAGAGTCAGTTCCTTCAGAGCAAAGTTCACATCTAGAAAGTCTTTCGAGACCTTCCTGCGACACACGGGGCAGGTCCTGGTGCTGTTCTGGTCCCAGTAGTTGTGTAGACAGACGGAGCAGAAGCTGTGGTGACAGCCCAGAGACACTGGCTCTTTAAAGGTCTCCAGACAAACAGGACAGGTCAGAAAGTCCTCCACTGCAGAGATCTTCTCCATTTGAACCAAAGAGTCCAGACTCACACGGCTGTGTCCTCTGTGTCCGACGCTCTGACAAACACTGACTCAGCACTTCCTCTTTACTCTGAATGAATCACTCACACCTGAGAGGAACAGCAGCAGCAGCAGGGGGCGCTGTTGCTCCATTTTACACCTTTACTGTCTTTAGTCTGTTTGTCATCGAGGTCATGTGACTGCTTCTGGGTTTAGAAGTAAAGAGTTCAAAATAAACCACACTGTGTCTTTAATGAACATGTTTTAATCCAAACGCACAAAGAGATTTACTCTTTACAAAATGTGAAAAAAAAAAACATTATTTAGTCCCAAAAAAGAAAAGAAACACAGAAATTCAGAGTAAAACATGAGAACAGATAAAGAGAAGGGTTCAGTGCAGAAAAGAACAAACCTGCATTAAGATGAAGTGCGAGTTGTAAAGCAAAGTGAACAGCTGAAGGGTCTGCGTCCTTTGTGACTGGGGCAGTTTTTGTTCACTCTAAATCAGCGTCTCTTTTTCCCTGAGGGTCAAACTGAAGCTGACACAGAGCGGAGGAGCACAGACACACGACCATCAAGTCAATCACTCACAATGTTGGATCTGACGGAGGTTTGACTGAACCTCCACAGCTTTAATGAGGCCTGGACTCTGCACCGATACCACTTCCTCTAAAAGCACTACTTCATTTGGAGTACTTTCCCACACTGAGTACTGATACCAGACACTATCTGTACAGAGCTTCTGTTACAGACGGAAATCCAGTTCACTTCAGAGGATTTTTAGAGTGAACCTGCTTTTTCACTGGAGACTTTTCTGAGGTTTGAAATGTCTAAACTCACTGTAGTCAGGTTTAATCATGAATATTATACAGAATATAAAGAGAAGTGCCTTTCATATTTGTGAGTTTGTGTTGACAGATGCTCTGCTCCAGCTGCTCAACACTCACTTTTATTATAACTGTGAGTTTTATTTGACTTTGACTCATGTGGACATGATCTGAGGACGTCAGCTCCTGTGGAAACACCCACTGCACTCACATCAACTCCACAAAAAAAAATAACAATTTTCTTCATTATTTGTCTCCAAAACCAAAATGAAAAAACAGATAATGATTCGTTTTTTCAGTTTTCGATTTTGTGTTTAAATGAAAAATGGAAAAAACAGATAACGACCGTTTCCTGTTTACGTGACTTCAGTGACTGTGATGCCGAACTGAACCAGGACTGAACCAGGACTGAATCAGGACTGATCCAGGTCCAGGACCAGACTGAGACTGGGACCAGACCAGAACTGAGACCGAGATCAGGACAGGACTAGTCAGGGACCAGACCAGAGGCTCAGAGCCCACAGAAGGGCCGGAGCTCGAAGCTGAGGCTCGGACCCTGCGGAGGCTCGGAGTCAAAGGTCGGAGGCCGTGCTGGTCCTGGTCTGGGAACTTGACTTTACATTTTCTTTTATTTTGAGGAGTTGTTGGTTTAATTCTTAAACTCTTCACTTTAAACTTCAAATGAACTGATTGAAATTGTGTGTAAACCAGGACTAAAAAAGGTCTAAACCAGGTCTAAACCAGGACTAAAACAGGACTAAACCAGGTCTAAACCAGGACTAAACCAGGTCTAAACCAGGTCTAATACAAGGACTAAAACTGGTCTAAACCAGGACTAAACCAGGACTAAAACGGGACTAAATAAAAGACTAAACCAGGTCTTAACCAGGACTAAACCAGGACTAAAACGGGACTAAATAAAAGACTAAACCAGGACTAAACCAGGACTATACTAGGACTAAACCAGGTCTAAACCAGGTCTAAACCAGGACTAAACCAGGTCTAAACCGGGACTAAACCAGGACTAAAACGGGACTAAACCAGGACTAAACCAGATCTAAACCAGGACTAATACAAGGACTGAACCAGGACTAAACCAGGACACAAAATCGTTGCGATTCCTCCACTAGAAAAGTCTCGTAGTGGATCTTTAACAGAAAAACAAAAACAGTAAAAAAAAAATAAAAAAATCACCACGGAGACGGGCGTAAAATGTTTTGGATGCATTTTAATTTTGAAAGTGGACAGCTCGGCGTCTGTCACTCGCTCACATTCACTCTCCACTCACACAAACACAAACACCGGGACGACAGCAGAAACTCAGAGAAAGACCCTCCGCGCCGACGCTTCCACAAACACTCGCGGGGAAACACACGGGTGTTTGATCCCAACTTTAGTCCTATTCAAATGACCGAAAAAGTGGAACATTCAAAAGTGCTGAACGCCGTCTCCCCCCGAAAAAAACTAAACAAAAAAACACACGGGCTCCTTCTTCTCTTTGTTCTCTTCATGCGGGAAATGTACAGAGATGGAAACGACGACGCCCCCCGGAGTCCAAATCTGCAACAACACGACTTCGGCCTTGAAAGGATCTCATCTGGAAAACAAGAAGAAGAGAAGAAGGAGAAGAAGAAGGAAGAAGAACAAGAAGAAGAAGAAGAAGAAGAAACGTGAGGATCTGACTGAAAGAGAACTAAACCAGGACTAAACCAGGACTAAACCAGGACTAAACCAGGACTAAACAAGGACTAAACCAGGACTAAACCAGGACTATACAAGGACTAATACAAGGACTAAAACAAGGACTAAACCAGGACTAATACAAGGACTAATACAAGGACTAAACCAGGACTAAACCAGGACTAATACAAGGACTAATACAAGGACTAAACCAGGACTAACCCTGGACTAAAACAGGACTGAACCAGGACTAAAACTGGACTAAACCAGGACTAAACCGGAACTAAACCAGGACTAAACCAGGACTAAAAGAAGTCTAAAAATGGACTGAAGCAGGACTGAACCAGGACTGAACCAGGTCTAAACCAGGTCTAAACCAGGACTAAACCGGAACTAAACCAGGACTAAACCAGGACTAAAACAAGTCTAAAAATGGACTGAACCAGGACTAAAACAGGTCTAAACCAGGACTAAAACCAGGACTAAAACAGGACTAAAACTGGTCTAAATCAGGACTAAATCAGGACTAAACCAGGACTAAACCAGGACTAAGCCAGGACTAAGCCAGGACTAAACCAGGTCTAAAACAAGTCTAAAAATGGACTGAACCAGGACTAAAACAGGTCTAAACCAGGACTAAAACAGGACTAAACCAGGACTAAAACTGGTCTAAATCAGGACTAAAACTGGTCTAAATCAGGACTAAACCAGGACTAAACCAGGACTAAAATTGGTCTAAATCAGGACTAAACCAGGACTAAAACTGGTCTAAATCAGGACTAAACCAGGTCTAAACCAGGATTTTTAAAATAGTAATAATAACTAAAAGGGATTTTTTTCAACCTGCACAAAAACAAACTGACACCGGTTCAGACTGAAGTCACATGACAAAGTTCAGATCTGTTTGGGTTTTAGGAGCACAGATCCAAGTGTCCTGGGTCCAATCAGGTCTGTGAGGTCCAGACTTAAAAGATCAGACACAGGACCACAGGGACAAAAAAAACCCTCTCGTTCTTCTTCTTCTTGTTCTTCTCACCTGTCGCGGGGGTCACGGCTGCTCCTCGTTGCTCGCACTCGGCGTTCGGTTTCGGATCTGACTCCTCAACTGTTCGATGAGCTCAGGATTCTGCTGCTGCATCTGCTGTGCAAACTGCTGCCCCCTGGAGGACACACGGAGTCATCGCACTCACAACACTTGAACTTAATAAACTGTAATGAACTTCCTGTGATCTTTGTTTACAGCTGAGAGTTTATATTTTATTACCGTATTTTTCGGACTACAAGTGTCACTTTTTTTCATGGTTTGTGTGTTTCCTGTGACTTATTCTCCGGTGCGTCTTATAAATTAAAACGTTTGAAGCGAGGAGAGGCTCTAGTCTTGTGTGTCAGTATCTGCTGCTCCTGTTCCTCCTGTACTTCTGTACTTCTACTTTTGAGTCTCATAAGATCAATTCCCCTATAAACAGGATTTTATCACAACAGTCATGAAGAGCCAAGAGCCTGGAAGATTTTGTGATATGATCCCAGCCATAACTCGGATACAACTGGAAGAAAAAATGTGATTGGTCCATTTTCATTCCATTATATTAACCCTTTGTTTCCCAAGAAATATCTGTCCAAGTTTATAACAATGATCTAGAAATTATTACTAGTGTCATATTTATTACTCACTGAATAAAAAAATATAGAAAAAATATATTAGTAGTACAAAAATTCATTCAGTATTTTTTCTTGAGCCTTCAGAATCCCTTGAAGACTGAGGGTTCAACTCTGAAAGAAAAGCCGCTTGTACAACAAATGTTTGACTTTTTCATTTACATTTCCAATAAAAGTGAAGCTATACTCTACTTTTTAATTCATTAATTGGTTTTGCGTAAAACATGCGATTAATCACGATTAATCGCACTCGAACTCATGTGATTAATGCGATTAATATTTTTGATTTTTGCCCAGACCTAATTTAATATATAAGCTGCAGCGGAGTTTAAGTCACAGGAAACACCCAAACCATGAAAAGAAGTGACACTTATAGTCTGAAGAATACGGTACTCCAGATTTTCTTCATGTTATCGAGTACTGAAGCTTCTCGTGCCTCAGGAGAAACTTGTTTTCATCTTTGAGACAGTAAACCCCCTCAGACCCCGAGTCCTACAGTGACGTTTAAACACTCACGCCTGGATGAGTCCGCTCAGGTCGCCCGATGACGCGGACGCTGCTGCTGCTGCAGGTCCAGGTCCGGGTCCGGGTCCAGGTCCTCCTCCCATGGCTCCAGACATCATCCCCGACATCCTGAAGAACAAACGTTTCACACATGTTTCCTGTTCATCCAGAGTCTCCAAAAACGACAGTATCCGCTGGAAACCCCGTACAGGTGCGGAGACCAAGGAACACAAACACTGAGAAGGTTTAACTGTAGGGATGGGCACGATTAGTCGATTAATCGATAAATGATCATTAAGAATTTCGTCGATTACGTTCATTTTTTATCGACAAACCGAATGCAGGTTTCTGTGTGTAACGTAGGGCGACCAAATGTTCGTTTTTCCCCAACATGTCTGTTTTTCACGTCCTGTTCTGGCCGTCCGGGTTTTAATTTTTATCAAGTGATGTAAATGTCCAGGTTTTCATTTCCTTTCATTGGGTTATTAAACTGAGCGTCTCTTGTAGCTCTTTGTAACTCAGAAGGAGCGAGACACAAACAGTCGGTCAGTCTGAAACACGCCGAAGCTCAAATGCACATTTAACGATGCCTTGGACATGAAATTCTCCGCTTTCCGTCCCGGTCGAGACAAGTGTGAGTCCATGTGCACAGTGTACCGTATTTTCCGGGCTATTAGACACACTCTTAAGCCTCTAACCCATCAAAAAACAACCGCGCGCCACAATCCAGAGCGCCCCATACTAGGGATGGGCATGATTAGTCGATTCATCAATAACTGATCATTAAGAATTTCATTGATTACGTTCATTTTAAATCGACAAACCGAATGTAGGTTTCTGTGTGTATCGTGACCAAACAGGTGTGTACATGTGTCTCTGCATCAGAAGGAACGAGACAAAAACAGTGGGTCAGTCTGTAACGAACCGAAGCACAAATGTGAACGATGTGCAACGATGACTTCAACAAGAAATTTCCGTTGCGTTGGGACAAGTGTGAGTCCATGTGCACAGTGGATAAAGCAGCACATATGTTTCTGTGTCCAGTGGGAAAAAGTTTTTCCAGGTGAGAGTCGCTCAATGTGGATGACGAGGCCCCGCCCCCCTCCCCCCGTACGCTGTCCTGGTTTTGACAAACACAAATCTGGTCACACTGACCTGTATTCATCTGAGTCATGTCTTTTAATCCAACACAAGTTGAACCACATCAGCGACACAAGAGCTGGAGTTTTATCTTCACTTAGTTTATGTAAATTAGTGATGTGGTTTTAAGTTTTGTTTCTGTGAGATTTGAACAAAACTGAATTAAACACATTATAATGTCAAACAGCTGATGTGGCTCTAGAGTCGTTATGTTATATGTCGTAAAGTTGAATTTATTTATGCAGATTAGTAGTGCAGATAGTAATGATTCATCGAAAATCGATCGTTAATTCTACCGACAATCGATTAAGAAAATTTAAATAGAACGCCCGTCCCTATTTAACTGTATCAAAATTTGGACAGCGCTCGACCCCACTGTCGCTCACTAAAACGTGGAGGTGCTTGAGAGCGTCAGGATACTCACAGCTGCTGCACCTGAGGGTTGTTCATCAGAGTCGACGCCTGAAGAAAACGACACACAAATTAATAAATACTGTTTTTATTTTTTACACGATGGAAATGTGAGAATAGATCGAGTCTCGGTCTGAATCTGTGTGTCGTTTGTTCATTTGTTTTTCAAAATAAAACCAAAAATAAGAAACAAAAAAACCCAACAATTTTCTTCATTATTTGTCTCTAAAACCAAAATGAAAAAACAGATAATGATTTGTTTTTCAGTTTTTTGTGTTTAAATGAAAAATGGAAAAAATGGATAATGAAACCAGGACTAAACCGGGACTAAACCAGAACTAAACCAGAACTAAACCGGGACTAAACCGGGACTAAAACAGGACTAAAAAAGGTCCGGGACCAGACTGGAACCAGACCGGGACTGAGACCAGTACCAGGACTGAGACCAGGACTAAGGCCAGGAACAGATTGAGACTGAGACCGGTACTGACCCGAGACCAGACCAGGACTGAAACCGGGACCAGACCATGACTGAGATCAGGACTGAGACCAGGACTGAAAACGGTTTAGCCCTGGTTTAGCCCTGGTTTAGTCCTGGTTTAGTCCGTTGTCGTTTTTTTCCATTCTTCATTTAAACCCAAAATCAAAAACTGGAAAAAACAAATCTTTATCTGCTTTTTCATTTTGGTTTTAGAGACAAATAATGAAGAAAATTGTTTTTTCATTTTCTTATTTTATTTTTTTTTTTGAAAAACGAACGAACCAATGACACACGGCTCGGGTCTGGACACTTCTGACCGGGACAGACTCACCATGTTCATGAAGCCGGGGTTACTCAGGAGACCGGCCAGATCGACTCCGCCCATCCCCGCCGTCTGAAAAAACAAAACAAACAAAAAAACATTCAACTTTTACGTTTGAAAACAGATCTACAAAGAAACATGGACGGGACGGGAGGGCATCTGGCTCTGACCGGGCTGGACGTGTCCATCTTGTCCTCGGCGATCTTCAGGTTGGACTTGTAGGTCTCGTTGTCCGGGTCGAGCTCCAGAGCTTTCTTATAGTAGCCCACGGCCTCTGTGTGTTTGTTCAGACTCGCCAACGCCAAACTGCGGCGAAAAACCCCAAAAAACACAACAAAAAAATCAGACGCAGCGAAAAAAAACAAAACGGTTCACTCACAACTTTTAAGGAGTTTATTTGTCAATGTTAAAGCTGCACTGTGTAACTTTTCTGCTGGAGGATCAATCAAATGCTTTTTTCCCCTCATGTAGATGTTACTGCTTTTTCTGAAATGTTCCACAGTATGACATTAAACTTTTCTATCTTCATGGAGACCAAACCAGACCAAGTTCCAGGTCAGATCTGTGGAGAGGTGACCCCGCTCAAAGTCAGAATGTTTGTTTTTTTTCTAGGCGTTTTTGAGCTGTTTAATGTCACACTGTGGAACATTCCAGGCAGAGCGGTGACGTCTCCATAGAAACCAACCCAAACCTGATTATTTAATAGGTTCTTATTGTTTTCAGTTAAATTTTTTAATTTTTGTAAAACATAAAAACGGCTTCACAAAATATGTTGAGTTAATCGGGTTAAGTCCCTGATCTAGTCCTAGTTCAGCCCTTGGTCTGGTCTTGGTTCAGAGTCTCTGGTCTGGTTCAGGTTCAGCCCCTGATCTGGGCTTGGTTTAGTCCTGGTTCAGTCTAGTCCTGGTCCAGTCCAGTCCCCAGTCCAGTCCCCGGTTCAGCCCCTGGTGAAGTCCTGGTTCAGTTCCTGGTCTGGTCCAGGTTCTGCCCCTGATCTAGTCTTGGTTCAGTCCCCGGTCTAGTCCCCGGCCCCGTCTCGTCCCATTTCAGCCCCTGGTGCTGGTCCTGTCCCTGGTCCTGTCCCTGGTCCTGTCCCTGGTCCAGTCCCTGGTCCAGTCCCTGGTCCAGTCCCTGGTCCAGTCCCTGGTCCAGTCCCTGGTCCAGTTCTTACCCCATGCGTCCGTAGGCTTTGCTGTATTTGGGGTCGATGTTTATGGCCTGTTCACAATCCTGAACAGCTCCAGCGTAGTTCCCCAGTTTACTGAGGGCGGCCGCTCTGAACACACACACAGATACATGTTACTACTACTACAAATACTACAACTACTACTACAACTGTGCAGTTTACTGAGGGCGGCCGGTCTGAACACACACAGATACATGTTACTACTAGTACAAATACTACAACTACTACTACAACTGTGCAGTTTACTGAGGGCGGCCGCTCTGAACACACACAGATACACGTTACTACTACTACAAAATACACATACACTACTACTACTACTACTACTACTACTACTACTACTACTACTACTACTACTACTACTACTACTACTACTACTACTACTACGCTGCTGCTGCTACATACGCGTATACTCATACTACTACTACTGTGCAGTTTACTGAGGGCGGCCGCTCTGACCACAGACACACAGGTACATGTTACTACTACTATGAAATACAAGTGTACTACTAATACTACTACTACTACTACATACATGTATACTAATATTATGACTACAAAATACACTACTACGACACCTCCTCCTCCTCCTCACTACTACCACTACTACCACTACTACTACTACTACACACTACTACTACTACTACTCCTACTCCTACTCACTACTCCCTACTACACAGTTTACTGAGGGGGGAAGCTCTGAGGAGAAGCACACATTACTACGACTACACACGTACACGAATACTACAACTATGACATACACGTACACTAATACTACGACTACTACATTACAGTACTACTCTGTCGTGTGCTCCTCACCTGTTGCAGTAGTACACGGCGTTCTGAGGGTTGAGGGCGATGGCCTGTGAGTAAAACTCCACTGCGGCCGAATAATTCTCCACTTTCATCTGTTCATTTCCTACAAAAACATTTAGAAACATTTAGAACCTTAAAAAAAAAAATGTTTTGAGTCAAACCCACAACCTCCTGGTGAGAGGGAGGAGGAGGAGGCGGCTGTACCTTCTGACTTGAGCGCTTCAGCCTCTGCTCTCTGCTCCTCACTTAAACAGTTGGGGCTGGAGTTGTTGTTGGCCTGAAACTGAGCAGGAAACTGAGGGAAAAATGACACAAAAACACATTAGTCTTATTTTAATCAACTGCAAAACGGAGAAACATGTGCAAAAGCAAACCAAAGCCGACAAAAATAAATGTTCTGAAAAGCACAAATCTCTCCAAAACACATCTCTGACATCGTCCAGTGAGGTTCATTTGGTCTTCCGATTATCGATGTTATCAGGTTCTTATTACAGCCCGACAGTTTCTTCAAGTGGAGGAGTTCAAGTGTGTCGGGGTCTTGTTCTCGAGTGAGGGGAGGACGGAGCGTTGACAGGTGGACAGGTGCAGTCGCTGTATCGGACCATTGTGGTGAAGAGGAGCCGAGTCTGGATTTAACGTCGGTCTTCGTTCCTCCCCTCACCTCTGGTCATGACCCGAAGGACCAGATCCACGATACAAGCGGCACAAATGAGTTTCCTCTGCAGGGCGACCGGGCGTCTCCCTTAGAGACAGAGTGAGGAGCTCGGAGTAGAGCCGCTGCTCCTCCACGTGGAGAGGAGCGTCTGAGGGGAGGACGTCTGTTTTTGTACTCTTTGTTATTATATTATTTTGTGATGTTTGAGCTCCTGTGTCCAAATAATTTCCCTTGTAGATCAATAAAGTTTGAGTCTGAGTCTATGTCCCGGATGTCTCTCCTGGACATCTCCCTCAGGAGGTGTTCATGTCCCACTGAGAGGAGGCTCCGGGGAAGACCCAGGACACACTGGAGGGACTATGTCTCTGAACTGGACTGGGAACACCTGGGGATCCCCCCGGAGGAGCTGGAGGAAGTGTCTAGGGTGAAGGAAGTCTGGGAGTCCCGGATAAGAGGAAGAACATGGATGGATGAACATAAATATATCCAAAATAAACTATATATCGAGCTGTTCTACAATCTCTATATTTAAAAAATAAAATAAATATAATCATATACTGTATATCAAACTTTTGTGGTGCCTACGCCACAGACTGAACCAAGACTAACCTAAGACTGATTCCAGGACTGAAGAGGAGGACTAAACCAGGACTGAAACAGAACTGAACCAGGACTGAACCGGGACTGAACGGGACTGAACCAGGACTGAACCAGGACTGAACCAGGACTGAACCAGGACTGAACCAGGACTCACTGTAAGGACGGGTTCGGAGGTGACGCAGGAGAAAGGATCTGCGTAGAGCTCCGCATCTCACGGAGGTAAGACGCAGCAAATGCCCGATCGCGTTTTGCGGACAAACTGCTTGGCGTTCTCGCTCTTGACCCACCCGTGTGTAATTACTGCCCGCCTGTAATACACAATATGTGTTCATACGCTGCAAAAAAAAAAAAAAAAAAAAAAAAGCACGCAAAATTGCACAAAAATTGAACCGTGATATAGTGAGGGACGACTGTATATAAAAAAATACCCCAAAATCAACTTTGTTAAGCTTTATCATTTCACCTTGATTATATGAGTTCGGAGTTCGTTTGACACACAAATTGAAATCGCGATCAAAATTCGATTAACTGCACAGCCTTAGAGTCAGACGCAGGTTATACATGCGTTAAGACTCTCAGACTTCCGGTCGTTGCACAATTCATACTGGGAAGGATTTTCTGAAAAAATGAACATCAAACCTCCATGTTTGTTTTCCCAGTGGGATGTGTCTACTGTCAAAGTCGATCTTTTCAAGTCTTTTGAACCATATCGCATTTGTTTCTGGTTCTGATATTGTCATATTTTAGTTTTGGGATTCGGACATTGTAATTGTTGTGGTTGTTGGATCCAAACAGCGGAAAACGACTCGAGAAATGTGTTTGTGAACTTCATAAATGCAAAAGTGAATCAGATGTGTGAGACTCAAACCTCCGTTCAAACTGTTTCTCTTCCCAACGGAATTGAAAAATAGTGAAAGGTGAAGGTGATGGGCAGGATTGATCCACAGGAAGAACCAAAAAGGAAACATTTGTCTGACTAAGAAATCATCCCGAGTTTACAGAGAACATTTTGTATGTGGAGCGACAACAAAACGAAATGCCGATCCGTCGCTCAACCTTAGTTATGAATTTAAAAAGTCAACACCAAAGTGAATGTCTCCAACTGTTCACCAAGAAACACCTTCCACTGCAAAGACCAAGACGTGATGTTTCTGTAAAACCACAAGAACAAGAAAGAGCAGCTCAGTCTGTTTGTCTTCTGCTCCTCAACATTAACAAACGGGATTTTGTTTTGTCGTCGCTCCACATACAAAATGTTCTCTGTAAACTCGGGATGATTTCTTAGTCAGACAAATGTTTCCTTGTTGGTTCTTCCTGTGGATCAATCCTGCCCATCACCTTCACCTTTCACTATTTTTCAATTCCGTTGGGAAGAGAAACAGTTTGAACGGAGGTTTGAGTCACACACATCTGATTCACTTTTGCATTTATGGAGTTCACATTTCTCGAGTCGTTTTCCGCTGTTTGGATCCAACAACCACACAATTAACGATGTCCGAATCCCAAAACTAAAATACGACAATATCAGAACCAGAAACAAAAGTGATATGGTTCAAAAGACTTGAAAAGATCGACTTTGACAATAGACACATCCCACTGGGAAAACAAACATGGAGGTTTGATGTTCACTTTTTCAGAAAATCCTTCCCAGTATGAACTGTGCGATGACCGGAAGTCTGAGATTTTTGATGAGTGTATTAGGTGTGGAGTTCAGTCACTGGCGTTTACGGGCGGGACGTGAGGAGCCCCTCTCAGCCTCGCCGTGATCCAAACACAAGTATCCTCTTTGTTTCAAAGTCTGGAGCACATCAGTCCACGCAGTGTTGGATTGTTGTGGCTGTCGGTCGGCCGTCAATCATCACTTCAGAGTAGGAGGACTTTTCAGATGTTGCGTGTGGGCGGAGTAAAGCTTTGGGAGGGGGTTTATTAACGGCTTTTTGATACAGTGGAAATCAGGTACAGCACAACAAACAGTATCTTTGAGTATCGTTAAAAAAAACAAACTCCTGAGTCCGCTCACCTTGGCTGTGGCGGCGTTGAAGATTTCCGGTAGCGTCATGGGCACGGCCAGGCTCCGATCGTCGGTGGAGATCTCGTATGCGGTTTCCAAACACTGAACCGCCACTGAAACCACAACGGGAGGTTTAAATAAAGAGAAAGTCCGGCATCAGAGCGCAGCAGAGACGGGCGGAGACAGACGCTCCCACAACCGCCCACAGATAAGACCAAACCCAAACCCAGGACCACATTTCACGGTTTTATGCACTCTAACTTTTCTGGTGGCTTTTCTTCTTGGAGATGTTATCGCTTTGTCTCGAATGTTCCACAGTATGGCATTAAAATTTCTAACTTCACAAACACCAAACAGGACCAAGTTCCAGGTCAGATCTGCGGAGAGGCGACCCCACTCACAGTCACAATGTCTGTTTTTCTAGGGATTTTTGAGCTATAAATCCACTTCTAATTGAATAAATGTTAAGTAGAGCTGTTTAAAGTCACACTGTGGAACATTCCAGGCAGAACATTGACATCTACAATGAAACAGGCAGGTGATGGACCCGTGTGCCGTTCGTTCATTTGTTTTTCAAAATAAAACCAAAAATAAGAAAACGAAAAAAACAACTTTTTTTTTTTTTTTTTTTCCCCTTCAGTCCTGGTTCAGTCCTGGTTTAGTCCTGGTTCAGTCCTGGTTTAGTTCTGGTTTAGTTCTAGTTTAGTCCTTGTTCAGTCCTTGTTCAGGTCTGGTTTAGTCCTGGTTCAGGTCTGGTTTAGTCCTGGTTCAGGTCTGGTTTAGTCCTGGTTCAGACCTGGATTAGTCCTGGTTTAGTCCTGGTTTAGTTCTGGTTTAGTCCTGGTTCAGTTCTGGTTTAGTCCTGGTTCAGGTCTGGTTTAGTTCTGGTTCAGGTCTGGTTTAGTCCTGGTTCAGTTCTGGTTTAGTTCTGGTTCAGGTCTGGTTTAGTCCTGGTTCAGTTCTGGTTTAGTCCTGGCTTAGTCCTGATTCAGGTCTGGTTTAGTCCTGGTTCAGTCCGTTATCCGTTTTTTTTCCATTTTTCATTTAAACACAAAATTGAAAACTGAAAAACGAATCATTATCGTTTTTTCATTTTGGTTTTAGAGACAAAAAATAAAGAAAATTGTTGTTGTTTTTTTCATTTTCTTATTTTTGGTTTTATTTTGAAAAAAATGAATGAATGAATGATACATGGATTGTGATGGACCCCCAACCAGAAAAGTTACACAGTGCAGCTTTAAAAAGTGGGAATATGATGATGAATGAACTTTTAAGAGTTTTAAATCAGACAAATTCAGCAAAATGGACTTTTCAGATTTTCTTTCTTCTCACTGACGCTTTGCAGTTGTATTTGGAGTTTGAGGAATCTTCAATCACTTGTTTTAAGACGCCATTTTGCAGAGATATCCCCATTTTCATCAACATTTTGGTACAAATATAAAAAAATAAAATAAAAATCTGCTGCTCGTTAGTGTCTGGAGCTGTAACTAATGATTCTTTTCTTCTTCGACTAAACCAGTGGTGGGTAATTATTTTTTCCATGGGGCCAGATGAGAAACAGAAAATATTGTGGAGCCAAAATGCTGAACTCAATTCTGTATTTCTTTATAAAAAAGCAGTAAATCTCATTGTTTTGACGAGCTGCTCAGACTGGGAAGAGTTTATGTTCTGACTAAACAATGAAAAAGTGAGGTCGCCGAACAAAGAATGTCATTTAAAAAAACAAACACCTAAAATAAAAGCAATGCAGCTTTAGTTAGGGCTGTGCAAAAATATCGATATATCGTACCGTTTAATGTGATGATGCAGTATCGATATCATGGGCTGCTGTATCGATATATCACCAAGAGGATTTTTTTGGTTTATTTTATTAAATTATTAAGTTCCAGCTACAGTTTTGTTGTTTGTTCAGAGGAAGGAAACTCATTTATGCGACACATTTGACATTTTCACTGTTTTGACGATTAAAATGTTTGTTTCATATGAACTTTGCACAAGAAGTGATTTAACAAAGACTTTTAGTGTCACAGACATGATTTAGACTTTATTTTTTATTGAACCGTATCGAATTAAACATGCACTGTATCGAGATATGTATCATATCTGCAACTTGTTAATAATACTCAGCTCTAGCTTTAGTCCAGGCCTGACGCAAAATTATAAAAAATGTTTATTTGTAATTCCAAATGATCTTAAAAAGGCCCGGGTCGGGACTAGACAAAGATTATAAAAAATAATTCTGATTTTCGATTAGTCAAACTTATTTCTACTGAACATTGAGAGTTTTTAATAAATATATTTTAAATGAAATAAAGATTAGAAGATGACTGAAGTTTTAACAGACAATATTTATGGATGAAGTGCATTATTGATCAAAATCTGATTAAATACTTTGACATTTTGATTTAATAATGTCACTGTGTTTGTTTTAAAAGCTCTTTTTGTGTGTGTTTTAGAGCCAGAACGGTCCGGAGAACAAACTACAATGATCTAAACATGACTTATTATTTTATAGTGGACTAATCACGATTATTAGACGATTCTTTTCAGTCGTAACATAATCAGTGATGGTTCCGGACTCACCCTCCAGGCTCTCCTTGGCGTCTGACGTCAGCGTGCCCGAGTGCAGCTGGTCGTGGAGGAACTGGAGGATGGAGAAGGCCAGGCGCTTTGTGTCGGACATGATCCCAGGACGAGGGCTCCGTTTGGGCTTGAGCTCAGGACGAGGAGACCTGATGGAAAAAAAAACCAAAAAAAACACAAATATTAGCCCTGGGCAGGTCCTGGTTTAGTCCTCGGTCTAGACTCTGGAAGCTAAACTTGGACTTTCAAGAGGTTTCCTTCAGTCTGCAATTTTGAAAAGTATCAAAACAGGAGGGAACATACTGTGACTTCTTAGCAGTACAGGTCACTGTGGCAGCGTAACAACCTGACAATAATGCAAATAACAAAATAACATCACTGCAGGGTTGCCACAGCACTTTTTTTTTTTACTTTATTTTTGTATGTGTTTGAAAATTTTAATACATTTATAGAACAAAACAAAACAAAACTGCAGACCACAACAAAACCAAATTAAATTAAATTAAAATTCAGAGCATCTAGAGTAAAACAATAATTATCTATCTTCACAGTATCAACATATCGAAGCCAAATATTCGGCCCATTTCTTCCAATACCTGTTACATTTAGCAGTACAAAGTCTCAGTGAAAATGTCAGTCTCTCCATGTCATAAATTTCGTTAACTACTTTGATCCAGTCAGCAAGTACAGGTGCATCTTTACTCCACACCACTTTTTGATCATTTATGAGAAATTCCAGATCTGAAAAAGGTTTTAAATCATTTGTCTTCTGATAGTAACGCCACTGCGGACATGAAAGTCTTGTGTGTTTTAACTTTCAACATTGTACAGGGACGTCCTGTCTTTGGAAATACCCAGTCCTAATAAAAAGAGTCAACTCAGTCGTGTTCTGAATAAGACGTGAATAGTTGTACGGAAACCAAACCAGTCAAACACCTGCACATTACTCAAAAATATAACTGAATAGAGTCAAAATTGTGTTTACAAATGTTACTGACATCTACTTAGTTTAAACCAGGTCAAGGTCCAGACTCAGCTGATTGTGTTTGTTACACCAGTCGTCACACAGACCCAGACTGAACCCACGAGTCTAAACTTTGGACCAGTTCTCAAACTTATGTTACTTTATTAAGAGACAATTGTAGCAGTTCTACGGTGAAAAAGGCTCATGGGAGGTTACTGACTGATATAAAACACTGAGACAAATATTATTTACAGTAATCACCGTGCAAACAAATGAACTGAATCACATTGTTCATTCATTTGCCACCAATTTGATCAAGACCAATTTGAGCTGGAGTGACCGGACGTCCCTGTTTAACATTTTTGACCCGTGTCCCCTGTCCCAGCAGATTTATCCCAAACCACCGATTTGACCCAATTTTATACAAGAAATGTCCCTATTTTTGTCTCTCTTTTTTGATCACTGTCATTCGTTTTGGTAAAATGCAGAAAATTTGCTTAAAAACGTCCAAAACACCAAGAAAACGTGACTAAACTGACTCACATGTTCGTCGTGAATGGGCCGAGTGCAGAACAGTTTTTCGTAATTACACACTCGTTTCACAATTTTATTATTACCAACCACCACAAACCAGAGATGTTTTGATTATGAAATTCTGGTCACATGAGTCTAGATTCTGGACCAGTTCTCAAGCTCGTGTTCCTTTATTAAAAGCCGAATGTAGCAGCTCTTCTGTTAAACTGACTCATGAGAGGTTCGGATCGATATAAAAACACAGAGATGTGCTGTAGGATAAATATTACTTACAATACAAATCACTCCACGTATCACATTGTTCATTCATTTGCCAACAATTTGATCAAGACCAATTTGAGTTAGAGTGACCGGACGTCCCCGTTTACTTGGGACAGTCCCAGTTTTGAATCTAAGTCTCCTGTCCCTGCAAATTTATACAAAACCACTGATTTGTCTCAGTTTTAAACAAGAAATATCTCAGGTGTCTCTATTTTTTACCAATCTGATCCTGCCAACAGTAAAGCGAGATATAAACTGACTTTTGTTTAGGTAAAATACAGAAAAGCTGCTTAAAAACGACCAAAAGCACAAAGAAAATGTGACTATACTGACTCACGTTACTCATGAATGGACCGAGTGCAGAAAAAATGTCCTTAATTACGCACTCGATTCACAATTTTATTATTACCAACCAACAAGAGTGTAAAATCCCTCAGTCCTCCAAGTAGAATCCATCGCAAAAGGAGAAATTCAAACTTTTGTCCAGTTGACAAATTCAGTTTCTCTTTTTGCGATTACTAACAGACACAAACCAGGAGTGTCCCAGTTTTTGATTTTGATTCTGGTCACCCTAACCTATACTCCAGACCAGTTCTCAAACACTTATTCCTTTTTTAAAAGCCAAACGTAGTAGGTCTTCTGTTAAACTGACTCATGAGAGGTTAGGATCGATATAAAACACTGAGATGTGCTGTAGGATAAATATTATTTACAATATTTACTGCACAAACAACAAATTCATCATTAATTTGCCACCAATTTGACCAAGACTGTTCATCAAGGGGAGCAGATTTTCAAAATAAAAAACTGGGACACTCTCGGTTAGTGGTGGTTGGTAATAATAAAATTGTGAAACGAGTGAGTAAATAAGGAGAATTGTTCTGCACTTGGCGCATTCATGACTAATGTGTGAGTCAGAATTAGGGGTGAGCATTGTCATGATTCACACGTTACGACTCAATATATCCCGATACTAAAACAATTACGATTTATCAATAATTACTTCTAATAATACAGTCAACTAAACCTTCAAGAGAGCACAAGTTTATGAAATATATTGCTTTTTTTTTTAATCATGAGAACAGAGAACGTAACTGATGAATTTTTGTGGAAAATATTATTTTAAAAAATCAAATCAGATCCATTTTGAATCAATTTTTTTCTTACGTGAAACGAAATCCAAGTCTCACGATATGATATTATCACGGTTTGAACCTCACGATACGATATTTAGTGCGATGTCGAAGGAAAGCTCAGGATATGTTGTGGAGGCTCACGATTAGAGATGTAATAATATCCAAATCTCTCTGTACGATATTTTCAGGATAAAAATCCCACTGTACGATATTTATTATGATATTTTATGGAGGCTAAAACAAAACTTTGAATATTCTACTTTTTCCTCTTTAAAATGCCTTGACAAGACAAACTAAGACTTGAAACTAATAATTCTTCATATTTGCACCAAAACAGAGCAAAGGATCATGGTCTATGTAGTTCCCTCTGTTTTTTTTTTTTTTTAACTATTCCTACACCATAACTCTTCATTTAAACATAGAAACTTGTAATTAGATATATTGTGATGCTCCACGATATTATTGTGAGAACTTTGAAGATACAATATCACGATATTTCAGCTATTGTCACATCCCTAATAGTCACATTTTCTTTGTGTTTTGGTCGTTTATAAGCAGAATTTCTGTATTTTACCTAAACAAATGTCAGTTTTTTTCTCTCTTTACTGTTGGTAGGATCAGATTGGTCAAAAATTCACTGGTTTGGGAAAAATCTGCTGGGACAGGGGACACAAGGGGTCAAAACTGGGACTGTCCTGGGTAAACACAGACATCTGCTGACACTAATATACTATATAGCCGTGTCTCCTGGTGACCTGAGCCCGATCGACACCCTTTTTAACTGCATTTTAGATATTAAGTCCTGGATGGCAGCAAACTTCCTCCAGCTCAACCAGGGCAAAACCGAGGTTTTAATTATTGGTCCTGAAGCTCAGAGAGAGAGGCTCAAAGCTAAGCTCCAAACCTACTCACTGAACCCCTGTGAGAGGGTGAAAAGTTTAGGAGTTATTCTTGATAGTGAGCTTACCTTTGAGCCACACATCAGGTCCATCACTAAATCCGGTTTTTATCATCTAAAAAATATTACCAGAGTCAGACCATTTCTCTCTCAAGCCAGTGCAGAGATTTTAATACATGCTTTTATTACAAATCGTGTTGACTACTGCAATGCTCTCCTTTCTGGTCTTCCAAAGAAAACCACAGCTCCACTACAGCTCCTCCAAAACTCTGCAGCACGACTGCTGACAAGGACCAGGAAGCGAGAGCACATCACCCCAGTACTGAAGTCTCTGCACTGGCTCCTGTGAGCTTCAGGAGAGATTTTAAAGTTCTTTTATTAGTTTATAAAGCTCTTAATGGTCTTAGTCCTATTTATTTATCTGATCTGCTTTTATCATATGAGCCTCTCGGACTCTCAGGTCTTCAGGTCTCGTCTTTTAACTGTCCCAAGAGTCCAGACTAAAACTCACGGTGAGGCGTCATTCAGCTTTTATGGCCCCCGTTTGTGGAACAGTCTGCCTGAGGATCTGAGGTCCGCTGCGAGTGTTCATATTTTTAAAAGTAAACTCAAAACCTATCTTTTTAATTTAGCTTTTAATTGAAACTTTTATCTGTCTTAACTTAAATTATTATTATTATATTTATTTATTCTAAATTAAATTATCATTACTGTTTTACTTTGTCTCCATTTGATTTTAGCTCTCCATTTTGATTTTTATAATAACCTTTAGGAGTTTTATGTTTATGTTTTAAATGGTTGTATATATGGATGAAACAAAGGGATGGGGGGGGGGGGGGGGGGGGGGGTTGCTCTTGATTTTAATTATTGTATTGTAATTTTTCTGTTGCATGTGAAGCACTTTGTGCTACATTTTAAATGTATGAAAAGTGCTATACAAATAAAGTTTGATTGATTGATTGATTGATTGACTAATAATCATGTTATTACCACCGGAGTCTAAAAAAAATTAACTGACATTTTAACAAAAATGTTTTGTGTTTTCTTTACCCACGAGAATCCACATTGTCCCTGTAGAATAAAAACCCTCTAAAATAATAATAATAATAATAAAGATAAATAATAATAAAAATTAAATAATAATAATAAAACTACTACTACTACTACTAATAATAATAATAATAATAATAATAATAATAATAATAATAATAATAATAATAATAATATAAAATAATAATACAAAAATAAAATAAAAAATATATAATAATAAAAAAAATAATACAAATAAAAAATAAATTGATAAAAAATAACAATAAAAATAAAATAATAATAAAACTACTACTACTAATACTACTAATACTACTACTACTACTACTACTAATAATAATAATAATATAAATAATAATTTAAAAAAATATATATATAATAACATAACAAAATAATAAATACAAATAAAAAATAAATTTATAAAAAATTAAAATAATAATAGATAATACTAACGCAGAGGTGAGAGGAGCGCGTGCGGGAGCCTCGGGTCTATTTTTAGGTTAAAAGTGGAAAGGCTCGTTGTTGTTGCTGCTCCAAACCACAGTGAGCTCAGATTTCAGGGAAGAACAACCGCGCAGAGAACAATCCGTCCGTTTTTACCCGCACGTCCGATTCAGAACGAGGCCAGTTTAACGCGAGTTTGGTCCCAGTTCGTGAAGCTCCGAACGTGACGTGTTTCCAAAGCACGATGCTAAATGCTAACGCCGCTAACTATTGTTTTTACTCTTTCATCCGCTTCACAAACCTCCCGGGCGGGCGCGGGGCGAGGGCGGTGACCGGGCACGGCGCTGGACCTACCCGTTGTCTTTGGCTGTAATCCCGAAAAACGCAGGAAAAAAACGCGAGGAAAAAGCGTCAGATCGCCACTTTTCTTGCTCCGCTCTTCCGAATCTTCTAGCGACTTAAAGGCTGGACGCGCACGGGTGACGTCATCGGAGCGCGTCGCCCGTGCCCCTCCAGCGGGTTTGTTTTTGTTTGGCACTTTTGGCTCTAAAGTTGTTTTATAGAGTTAATAATGCAGTAATAACAGCGCGTAAGAAGAATATACGGTTCTTAATGCTTTAAAATTAAGAGTTTGTGTAAATATTTAGACTTGATCGCGGGGAAAGAGCACTTTGCACAGTTGCTAAGCTAACACAGACACGTGAAGATTCGCCTTTAGTTAAACAATCGTGTTGTAAAATGTTGAAAAGGAAACACACCCTGAGAGCTCTGGTGACGGAGAGGCTGAGCGCGGCCGCGGAGGAGATCTTTGCCCTGGTGGAGAGAACAATAGCGGAGTATGAGGACGAACTGCGCCGATCCAAAGAGGAGAACCAGCGGAACCTGCGGCTCCTGGACTCGGTTCTGAGTCCGCAGGTCCGGCTCCACAGGACCGAGGGTCGGTACCGGAGGGTTTTTCTGTTTTATATACAGTGTTGGGGAGTAACAGATTACATGTACCGGAGTAATCAGAGTACAAATGATGAGTAACTGTATTCAGTTACAGTTACTGTTTCAGTGAGTGCTAATTGGATTACAGTTACTTTGTTGAAATAAATGGATTACACGGAGATATTTTCCTGTTTTCACATTTTGGGCTAAACCAGGACTAAAACCAGGTCTAAACCAGGTCTAAACCAGGTCTAAACTAGGTTTAAACCAGGACTAAACCAGGACTAAAACCAAGACTAAACCAGGACTAAGCCAGGTCTAAACCTGGTCTAAAACCAGGTCTAAACCAGGTCTAAACCAGGTCTAAACCAGGACTAAACCAGGTCTAAACCAGGACTAAAACCAGGACTAGACCTGGTTTAGTTCCTGTTTAAACCAGGTCTGAACCAGTACTAAACCAGGTCTAAACCAGATCTGAACCAGGACTGAACCAGGACTAAACAAGAACTGAACCAGGACTAAAACAGGATTTAACAGGACTAAATCCTGCTGTGTGGACGTGTCTCCTCGTTTTCTATCAATCATATTTTTAATTTGGTTCAGTAAAATCTGGGCTTTTTATTTTCTTTTATCAGACAAAACTTTTTATGTTTAGATCCTCATCTCTGCTTCTCTACAGAAAATCAAGTAATCCAAAGTATTCAGATTAGATTACTCACTTTAAGTAATTTAATGGATTCTGTTATAAACTACATTTTGAGTTATGTAATCTGTAATCTGTAGGGGATTACATTTTAAAAGTAAACTTCCCAACACTGTTTATAAATGGATTTGACATGATTTCTAAACACACTGCTCCTTAAAAGTCCGATATTATGCAAGATAAATGAAGCTTTAACGTAGCTGTGTGCAAACATATTGAAATATCGATATATCGCATCGCTTAATGTGATGATACAATATTGATATCGTGTGCTGCTGCATCGATATATCACCAAGAGTATTTTTTTTTGTTTATTTTACTAAATTATTTCTTTACAGCTACAGTTTTGTTGTTTGTTCAGAGGAAGGAAACTCATTTATCTTTCTGACGTTGCATTTTTTTTGTTTTTTTTGTTTTATGTTCATTTGCAAACAGGATTTTCTTTATTTTAGCAACATAAATGACAATTTACACTCGTCTTTACTATTGGCAGCGATCAGATTAGTCAAATATTGTGACAGTTCTGGTTTAGTCTTAGTTTAGTCCTGGTTTAGATCAGATCAAAAATGGGACATTTCTTGTATAAAACTGAGAAAAATCAGTGTTTTTTTAATAAATCTGCAGGGACAGGGGACACAGGCTCAAAACTGGGACTGTCCCGGGTCCATAGGAATGTCTGGTCACTAAAATATTGAAATATCGATATATCGTATCATTTCACTAGCTCGGACCACGCCAACAATGACATAGTGCGAAGAAGTTTATTGATAATGTACGAAGCGAGGCAGAGATGACTGGTTGGGACTCTGGGTGGGGGCTCCGTCTCAATCTTCAATTGGAACGGGACCCCCCCGTAGGAGACATATGACTGAAAGACAAAACGGGGTGGGAGGGTGGGGTCGAGTTCACCGAGACAAACTGGGATGATGGGAAAGGCTGCTACATACAGGCTTCTGGGAAATTCGAGGCGTGGTCGAGGTGAGTTGTGGTTCTCTAGTGAGAGGAGAGGGCGGCTGAGGCCTGGTCCTGCTCCTGAATCTCACTTAATCATATTAACTACATTTTATGTGATGATACAGTATCGATATCGTGGGCTCCTGCATCGATATATCGCCAAGAGTATTTTTTGGTTTATTTTACTAAATTATTTAGTTCCAGCTACAGTTTTGTTTGTTCAGAGGAAGGAAACTCGTTTATGCAGCACATTTGACATTTTTGTAATGATTAAAATGTTTGTGTTTCATATGAACTTTGCACAAGAAGTGGATTAACAAAGACTTTCAGTCAAATGCAGATAAACAGAACCGTTTTGAGCCTGGATTTAAACAACGTCAAAGTTGAGTTTGTCTCACATGTTCAGGAAAACTGTTCCAGGTTTTAGCCGCATGAATCTAAAACGTTTAGTCACGATATGATACATATCTCGATATCTCGAACTTATGATTCAGTTTGATATATTTCAAATTGATTCGATATGGTTCATTAAAAAATAAAGTCTAAATCATGTCTGTGATACTAAAAGGTTTTCATTTTTCATTCTGCACTCTTCTCTCTCATTTAATGTCTATCTCTTTTTAATTTTATGATGATTATTTATGTTTTGATTTATTTTTATTGTGATTTCAATATATTTCTTATTCTGTAAAGCACTTTGAATTACTTTGTGTACGAATTGTGCTTTACAAATAAATGTGCCTTGTCTTGCTTATGTATCGAGGTAAGTATCGTATCGGCAACTTATGAATTCAATACGATATATTTCAAATTAATTAGATACGGTTCAATAAAAAAATAAAGTCTAAATCATGTCTGTGATACTAAAAGTCTGTTAATCCACTTCTTCAGCAAAGTTCATATGAAACACAAACATTTTAATCATCAAAACAGTGAAAATGTCAAACGTGTCACATAAATAAGTTTCCTTCCTCTGAACAAACAACAAAACTGTAGCTGGAACAAAATAATTTAGTAAAATATACCAAAAAATACTCTTGGTGATACATCGATACAGCAGCCCATGATATCGATACTGTATCATCACATTAAACAATACGATATATCGATATCTCAATATTTTTGCACACTCTTAGGCTGCGTTCAGACTGCAGCCTGAAGTGACCCAAATCCGATTTTTTGGCTTCTATGTGACCTGTATCCGATCTTTTAATGACAGTCTGAACGGCACAGATCCAAATTTTTCAAATGCGACCCAGGCCACTTGGATATGTGGTCCTGAATCCGATACATATCCGATCTTTTGACATGCGACTTAAGTCTGAACGGCCAAAGCGCATCCATCCGACCTACACGTCATTAACAAGCGACAAACGTCATTATTCTGCGCTGAAGCAGGCGGAAACCGGAACTGTAAAATCGCCAGGTGCTCAATGCTCGCGACCATATTTGGACAACTTCCGTAAACACAGAGCACGCTCGCTGCGGTTGACGCATGGGGTAGACGTCATCGTGTCCTCCAGTGCGCATGCGGGACACTTTCGGGCCGTTTACCGTTCACACTGAAGTCACAGACAAGTCGCATTTAATTGGAAATGTGAACGACCTCGCAAAAACATCGGATTTCACAAAAAAATCGGAATTGAGCATTAAGCCCTGCAGTCTGAACGTAGTCTTAGTGACCAGACGTCCTTGTTTCCTCAGGACAGTCCCAGTTTTGATCCTGTGTCCCCTGTCCCACAGATTTATAAAAAAACACTGATTTGTCTCAGTTTTATACAAGAAATGTCCCAGTGTCTCTATTTTTGACCAGTTTGATCTAAACCAGGACTAAAGCAGGACTATCACATTTTCTGACTAATCTGATCGCTGCCAGCAGTAAAGAGGAGCACAAATTGTCATTTGTTTTGCCAAAATACACAAATCCGTATATCCGTTTGTGAATGACAATAAAGCAAAAAACCGCAGTGTCAGAAGCTCCTCAGATCTGATGACTGACACGAGAATCCACAATGTTCCACACTGTTTTCACTGTTTTATTTACATGGACCATCCGAGCCCGAGTGTGTCCCAGTTTAGAGTCTTGAAAATCAATTTTTAGTCATGTTCTAATGTTGTTCCCTTGTCAAAAACAGACCTGGAGTTTGTTTGTTGTTTAATTGGTCTTTTATTATAAGTTGTTTAATGCTCTGTTCCACATCGTGATGTCATCAAGGTGCAATTTTAAACAGCTCCTTTTCCTGTGAAGTCAGCAGAGATCAGCAATTCCAGCGCTGAAATCATCCAAACAATTTTTCATGATTTATTTATCTGTACAGTCATCCGTCGCTATATCGCAGTTCACCTTTCGCAGTCTCGCTGTTTCGCGGATATTTTTTAGTGTAATTTTTTTTACAGAGTATGAACAGGCAGGTAGTAATGGGTGGGTCAGGACTAAACCAGGTCTAAACCAGGATTAATCTTGGACTTAAGAGACCCAAGTAGTTTGTCCACAAAATGCGATCGGGCAATTGTCGCGTTTACCTCCGTGAGGTGTGGAGCTGCGCAGGTCCTTTCTCCTGCGGTCACCTCCGAGCCCGACCCCACAGTGAGTCCTGGTTTAGTTCTGTTTTAGTCCTGGTTTAGCCCTGGTATGGTCTTAGTTCAGTCCTGGTTTAGTCCTGGTTTAGTCCTGGTTTAGTTCTGTTTTAGTCCTGTTTTAGTCCTGGTTTAGCCCTGGTATGGTCTTAGTTCAGTCCTGGTTTAGTCCTGGTTTAGTCCTGTTTTAGTCCTGTTATAGTCCCGTTTTAATCCTAGGTCAGTCCTGGTTCAGTCCTGTATTAGTCCTGTTTTAGTCCTGGTTCAGTCCTGTTTTAGTCCTCCTCTTCAGTCCTGTAATCAGTCCTAGGTTAGTCCTGGGTTAGTCCTGATTTAGTCTTGATTCAGTCCGTGGCATATGCAGCTCAAAAGTTTGATATAATCTCGGGTTAATGGGCAGGTGCGGGCGGGTGTGGTCCTGTCCTGCACAGGTGCGGGTCTCCAAAAACGGACCCGTGCAGGACTCTGCGTTGTTGGGCTCCACTACGGAATAAATTAATCCTCGGTTCGTTACATAAAGAAGGAGGAAAATAACAAAAGGACGACAGCAGCAATAAGTTTGAAGAAGGATGTAAAAAGAGTTTTAAGTGTCCTGTGTGAGAAAAGTGTGTAAAGTTTGTGCTGACGGGTTTTACAGACTTAAAACAGAGAGAATCATTGTAAAAAATAAAGTTGACGACTTCACGGGTTATTTTTAGAACATAACCTCCACGATAAACGAGGGACCGCTGTATCTCTATCGATCGTAGGACACAGGCTGAAAATATAACCAGCGTTTATAACTGGAAAACTCATTGTATTTTTGTGTTTGACAGACGTGAAGATAAACTGCAGCAGCCCCAGCAACACTCCGGCTCCTCTCGGCGTCATAGAGAAACCGAAGGAGGAGAACCCGACTGAAAACTTAGACCTTACAGTTGTTCAGGTGAAGAGCGAGGAGCTGGAGGAGGAACCGTCGGAGCTGCATCAGATCCTGAGCTCGATCAGCGACAGCGAAACGGAGAAACGGCAAGAGGCGACGTACAAAGAGCCAAAACGAGAGCCGGAGCCCGCGGAGTTTAACTTTGAGCGGCATTTTCAGCAGAACGGTTACTCCACCGACAACAGCGAGGACTGGGGGGAAGCGTCCAGCTCGGTGAGACACGTGCAGACGGAGGACGGCGCGGAGGGATATGAACACTTTATTATGGACCAGTTTTCGATGAGCAAAGTCCGGGAACACCAGTGCCTCATCTGCGGGAAGGTGTTCACCGGGCGGTCGCTTCTGAAGAGGCACTCTGTGGTTCACACGGGGGAGAAACCTTTCAGCTGTCCGGTTTGCAACAAAGGCTTTACGCAGAACGCTCACCTGAAGGTCCACATGTGCACGCACACCGGGATCATGCCGTACCGATGCTCGCTGTGCACGCGGGGATTTACGCGCAGAGATATTTACCTCAAACACGTCGGCACGCACAGAGACAAGAGGCTCCCGGGACTGAGCGACCGGAGAGTTGGTCTCCAGAGCGATCGAAGAGTTGGGTCTCTAAGCGATCGAAGAATGGGTCCCCTAAGTGATCGAAGAGTTGGGCTCCAGAGCGATCGAAGAGTTGGGCTCCAGAGCGATCGAAGAATTGGGCCTCTAAACGATCGAAGAGTTGGTCCCCTGAGCGATCGACGAGTTGGGCCCCTAAGCGATCGAAGGTTTGGTCCAAAACCCGCAGTGGCGAGCTCGCACAATCCGGAGTCTAGTGCCGGCCGCGTGTGTCTCTTCAGCTGCTCCTTCTGTCAGAAAGGTTTTCTCTCTCAAAATGACATCGAAGAACACATGAAGATCCACGGCGCGGACAGAGCGGGGAACTGACACTAGAGTTGGGCGTAAAGTTAAAAAAAATTCCTGCGATGATTTCCTTTGAGCCAGATCGTGATTTTTTTGATTTGATCTCGGTTCATGTTTTCTTAGTAGCTTTAAGAGGAAACCAAAACTATCTACTGTTTCTGAACGTTCACTGAAAGTTCTCTTCACTGTGATTGGTTGAATCCACCTGTCACTCACCCAGAGCTGGACATGCGGACCAACAGAGCTTTTTCACAACGACCGGAAGTGTCTTGCTGTAGGTTTGTGGAACTTCTGATTAATGTTTTTCTGCGTAAATGTGTGAGTAAACAGTGTTGGGAATGTTACTTTTAAAATGTAATCCCCTACAGATTACAGATTACTTACTCCAAAATGTAGTTTGTAACGTAATCCATTAAATTACTTAAAGTGAGTAATGTAATCTGAATACTTTGGATTACTTGATTTGCTGTAGAGAAGCAAAGACGAGGAAATCGTAATTTAAGATGTTTTATCTGTTAAAAGAAAATAAAAAGTCCAGATTTTACTTAAACAAATAAAAATATTATTGATGGAAGACGAGGAAACACGTCCACACAGCAGGATTTAGTCCTGTTAAATCCTGTTTTTTAGACCTAGTTTAATCCTGGTTTAGACCTGGTTTAGTCCTGGTTCAGAATTGGTTTAGCTTCTGGCAATGAGTGGAATTATTGGGCGGGAAAAAAAAAAAGAAAAGAAAAAGGGATATAGCCCAAAATGTGAAAACAGGAAAATCCCTCTGTGTAATCCATTTATTTCAACAAAGTAACTGTAATCCAATTACCACTCACTGAAACTGTAACTGAATACAGTTACTCATCATTTGTACTCTGATTACTCCAGTACATGTAATCTGTTACTCCCCAACACTGTGTATAAGTGTGTGTCGTATTCTCCAGCGGTTTCATAAATCTGCCTCATCACCAAATCTTCAACCAACAAACTCCACAAAGGAGAAACATTCTTCATGAACAATTTATCCACAAAGATCAAGAGAAGAAAGAGCAAAACTTGAAGGAGAACAACAGGGCCGCTGAAAGTCATTTTTAACAGGGGGTGCTCTTTTCACATTGTATCTTCTGCACATAAACAAGCACAATTTGGGTTTTGGAACATCCATTACACAATAGTTCTGAAATCTTCCTGATTTCTTGGAGACGTCACAGACCAGGAACTATGAAAGTCCGACTATTGCTCCTCCCCCCCCCCGTCCTGAGAAAGCACAGGCTGTAACTGATATAGCAGTAATTACTGGGCCTTTTCACCAGAAACTAATACTGGCACAAAATATAACATTTACTTTCTCAGCACAAATGAAGCAAGGCTACATTTACAAAGGGTAAAAAAAAAAAAAAAAAGAGTTTTTTTCAATAATAAAATCGCAATTTCTTGTAATCTGAGTGGATTTTAAAAAACGTGACGTAGACTCTGAGTGAGCCGCCCTTCCTCCGCCATCTCAGGGAGGGAGGGGGAGACAGACGTGACCCTGATAGCGGCAGGAATAAACTTTTATTCATCATGGAGATACAGCGCGTTCAGCCGCATGTGTTGGACCCGGAATCGGACGAGGACTTTGAGGAGCACGAAGCTCAAGCACCGCGTCCACATCAGCTGAACATTACTGATTGGTAAAGTTTAATAAACACTAGGAGATAAACTTATTATATCATGTACACTGGTGGAGGCGGGGGACGGGGGGCGGGTTCGTCATAGGTGAATCTGCCGTGTCATCGTTGTAACAGCTTTAGTTCGTTGTCACGTGGGAGGGAGGCAGAAATACGCTGCAATTAGTTTAAAAAAAACGCCAAATCAATCTAAAAACAACACAAATCCAAGGCCCACACATCACTCTGAGAAGGTAGAAAGATCTGAAAAGTTGATTTTGCATCAGATGGGTCCTTTAACTTATTTTCAATACTCAAATTAACTAGTAATAATAAAGGTCAGCAGTAAACACACACACACACAGAATGTCCACACTGTCACCAGTAGGGCTTGTCGATACGATACATACCTCGATACACAGGCCATGATACGATACGCTTTTCGATACAGTAAGCTTTCGATTCGTTACGATATATTTCACCTTGATTCGATATGGTTCAGTGTAGAAAAGGTTAACTCGTGGCTGTTTATACTAAAAGTTGACTAAGTTTGTGCGAAGTTAATTTGAAAAACACCAATTTTACTCGTCAAAACAGTGAAAATGTCAACACTTCTGTAGCTCTTACACAAAATAATTTTGTCAAATATACTAAAAATTACTCTTGCCGATATATCGATACAGCAGTCCACGATATCGATACTGTAACAGAACATTAAACGATACGATACGTTGATATTTCAATATTTTTGCACACCCCTAGTCACCAGCCCGTCACCTTTGTCCCTATTTGTGTGTAATATTCGATCGTGATGTTTGTCTTGTGTCGTGTGTGTTGTTTGGTTCCTATTTTTTGTAATGTGTGTAGTTTGCAATTAAAATTATTTTAAAAAACTAAAAAAATTAAACCCTCTTAGCCTATAGGCCGATTTAAAATACATTTTAAATATAAATAAATAGACTGAAATTCAACATTATACACTAAAACTATATACTTTAATATAGTCTCTGACAACTTAAGAAAAAATAAATAAAAATCACGCTCTCGCCACTAGGGGGTGCTGCAGAACCTTAGACCCTGCATGGGGGTGTCTCGCTTTCCAGCAGCACAAATCTCTTTATCTATACTAAAATCAACATCAGGAAATTGATTTTTAATTTTAAAAGAATGAGTCTGTGTGAACAGCTTCTGTTTTATTCATGATCCTAACATGAATTTAGTTGAGTGTGTCACTAATGCATCGTTTGTTTTGTCTTTGTTCTCCTTTTAAATTTTCGTCTTTCTTAAAGCTGAATTATATTTCTGCGTCGACTCATGACACGCTGCCGTCGTCGCCTCTTTTCTGTTATTTTTGATTTATAGATCTGTGCAGAGGTCGATTCTCCGCGAAGTAATTCACCACCACAACACGAGGAGGCCACGATTTCAAACTGGTGTTCGTGTTTACAAAATGAAAAGAGGAGAACCGGAAATGGATGTAGAGCGGATGTAGAAACGACGATGATAGTTGTGGATAAATTGTTCATGAAGAATATTTATCCTTTGTGGAGTTTGTTGGTTGAAGATTTGGTGATGGGGCAGATTTATGAAGCTGCTGGAGAATGCGACACACACATTTACACAAAAAAACATTAAGCGGAAGTTTTGCAAATCTACAGCGGGACACTTCCTTCTGTTGTGAAAAAGTTCTGTCGGAGGAGTGGGTGGTGGACGGTGTGTTTTTGACCACAGAGCTGCATTTAACAGATAAACTGAGGATCACGACGTGGCGATTTTACCCAAACAGACGATCGTCACCGGGAGGAGATCAGGATTATATTTTTATCTCCACATCACTGGCCCCAAGTTGAATGCTTCATGTCTTAACCTGAGCAGCCGGTCTCTTCTGGATCCTGTTCAGACGCACAAGTGTGTGTCACGGGCCCACACACACACACACACACACACACACACACACACACACACACACACACACACACACACAAACAAACCTCTGTCCCTGAATGTGCACGACTCTTTTCCCTGAGATAAAGAAGAGTTTGGAGCTCCTGGTGATTCTGAACAAATCCGCTGCCTCTCAGTCCACGGTGTTGCTCTTTTCTGTTTTTTTATTTTTACTCCTAATCCGTCATATTTTCATTATTTATTTTAATGCAAACAGAGTATGTGTTCCTCTGATTAGTTAATCCGCCTGTCAATCACTCCCTCTGGAATCAGCGCGACAGGTCACAGGTCCAGATCTGGTCACAGGTCCAGATCCGGTCAGAACGTGCGGTTCTGGACGGGGTCAGGTCTTTACAGCAGAGGTGGGACTTACAAGTTGGTCGACTAAGACTTGGGACTCGACTTGGACTTGAAGGTCAATGACTTGGGACTTGGACTTGAGGTCTGTGACTTGAGACGACTCGATGTTTCTCCTAAAAATCATGTTTTTATAAAATACGTTTCTCTTTCCAGTTGATAAATGTGGAGCTTAATTTTACAGGAACAAACTGGAACATGTCGCTCCCACTTCTGTTTGGTATTTTGGAGGAAACTGAAGTACTGTGATACTCAAAAGTACTACAGTAATATACAGTACAACACAGTAACACAGAGGGAACTACACAGAACAGTGATTCTTAACCATAAAGCCGCAGCCCAAACTTGGGCCTCAAGCGCCACCTAGAGGACAGCAAAAAACTTTCAGTTTTACACAAGTGGTTCACGAGGAACAGTGTGTGTTTGTGTCAGAGTCAGGGTCAAATTCACGTTGGGTCAAAATTAAAAACTGGGACTAAGTCGTGGTCAAACTAAATATTTATAGAAACATTTCATCAACATCTGCAGGTTTCTCTTCTTTTGAGATCTGTAATTTAAACCTTTTCTTATTCAAATAAATGTTTAATAAAAGTTTTGTTTAAACATTGAATCTAAAACAAACAGAATATAAAATAATTAGAACATTTAAATAAATCACGTCTCTATAGTCGATCTGTGTGCAGCTGCAGCTCTGATACATGTTTGATATGATCTCACAGGACAAATATAATTATGTCAAGGGCCAAATTTGGCCCCCGGGCCTGAGTTTGAGATGTCTGTTATTAGTTCCCTTTACAGACACACTGAATTATTATTTTAGAGTCCTGAATCAAACATTTTATTTAGTTTATTTAATTAAAAATATATATTTTTGTTCAAAGTTAAATCCAAATATGCATCTTTATTATTAATAAGCCTGGCTTAAGCCTTTACATTTTCTCTTGCTTGTTTTTTTTCCATGAATTATTAGCAAAAGTTAATGTAAGTTTAATAAAAATCATGTCATGTTTTTATTCCTTAAACTTTATTCAGGTTTTAACTTGTTAAACTGTTAAACTGTGAGTGGATTTGATTTATTATTGAAAACAAACGAGTGAAATCAATTAAATCTAATGAACCTCGGACCTCAGCATCAAAAACCTTAAGAACCTCCCGACAAAGAACATGATCCTTTTATTTCAGTGCAGACAAAATAACACGTATTTATTTATATATTTACTTAGTTTTTTAACACTTTTAAATCTTAATTCTTTCTATTCCGGCCATAATGATGTAATTATATAAATACTAAATACTAATATATAAATGTAACCTGAAACTTTTTAGTACAATTTAGTTTAAAATTCATATAAATTGCAAAAATCAGAGCTGTTTTTGTTACTTTGGTTTAAAAACTTGAAATGACTTGAAGCTCAAAGGACACGACTTGGACTTGACTCGGATTTACAGACCTGTGACTCGAGACTTGACTCGGACTTGAGGTCAAAGACTTGAGACTTACAAAACAACGACTTGGTGTCAGCTCTGCTTTCCACGACCACACCTCGGATTATTAATGTCCTTTTATTTTCAATATTTAAACATTTTTATTTAGTTTTAATGTCACTTTAATGTTTTATGTTTATTTTTTACATGTCGTACTGTTACTTTACAAACATTATTTAACAGAGAGATGGAAATCTGTTTTAAATCCTGCTCACAAAATGCTGTGGACATGTTGTTTTTTTTCCTCTCAAATGTCTCACGTATCAATCGTCGAACGTTTTGGGTGAATCGGACACACAGATCTCACTCCTTTATGACCCGAGTTCACCACGTCCAGACTTCAAAATCTGTGTGTCGTTTCTTTTATTTGTTTTTCAAAATAAAATCAAAAATAAGAAAATGAAAAAGCAACAATTTTCTTTGTTATTTGTCTCCAAAACCAAAATGAAAAAACTGAAAATGATTAGTTTTTTCAGTTTTTGATTTTGTGTTTAAATGAAAAATGGAAAAAATGGAGAAACGACTAAACCAGGACTGAACCAGGACTGAACCAGGACTGAACCAGGACTAAACCAGGACTGAACCAGGACTAAAAGTTATTGACACAGACAACTGATGTAGTCCTGGTTCAGTTCTGGTTTAGTCTTGGTTTAGTCCTGATTTAATCCTGGTTTAGTCCTGATTTAATCCTGGTTTAGTCCTGATGTAGTCGTGGTTTAGTCTTAGTCCTGGTTTAGTCCTGGTTCAGTCCTGGTTTAGTCTTAGTCTAGTCTTAGTTTAGTTGTGGTTCAGTCTTAGTTTAGTCCTGGTTTAGATCAGGTTGGTCAATAATAGAGACACTGGGTCATTTCTTGTATAAAACTGGGACAACTCTCAGTGTTTTTTGTTTTTTTTTTTTTTATAAATCTGGGCTCAAAACTGGGACTGTCCCGGGTCAATAGGGACATCAGGTCACTCTGGTCACTCTTGTCACTCTAAATAAACCATAAACCAGCTCAAACTTTTGTATTTATAGATCATTCCTCAGTCGTGTCTCCTCCTCGTCACCAGGAGGCGCTGTCACTTCCATCTCCTCAGACTCTTGGACAAAGCGGAAGTTTACGGGGATTTTATTATTTTTTTCCTTCATGTGATCGTCCCGGAGCCGAACGCGAACGACTCTTTTTGTGAAACATGAACGGGAGCCAGAGGAGCCGCGCCCTGAGAGCTCTGGTGTCGGAGAGACTCTCTGCGGCCGCGGACGAGATCTTTGCTCTGGTGGAGACGACGATAGCGGAATATGAAGAAGAACTGCGCCGCTCCAAAGAGGAGAACCAGAGGAACCTGCAGCTCCTGGACTCGACTCTGCGCGCCTACAAACTCACAGCAGGTTGGTGGAAGTTACACCTAAAAGTCTAGAGGGACCAGAGAGACCAGAGGGACCCGGGACAGTCCCAGGTTTGAGCCTGTGTCCCTGCAGATTTATACAAAACCAGTGATTTGTCCCAATTTATACAAGAAATGTCCCAGTGTCTCTGTTTTGGCCAATCTGATCTAAACCAGGACTAAACCAGGACTGAACCAGGACCAAACGAGGACTAAACTAAGAGTAAGCCAGGACTACATCAGGTCTAAACCAGGACTACATCAGGTCTTAACTAGGTCTTAACTAGGACTAAACCAGGACTAAACCAGGTCTAAACCAGGTCTAAACCAGGTCTAAACCAGGTCTAAACCAGGACTAAACCAGGACTAAACCAGGACTACATCAGGTCTTAACTAGGTCTTAACTAGGACTAAACCAGGACTAAACCAGGACTAAACCAGGTCTAAACCAGGTCTAAACCAGGTCTAAACCAGGTCTAAACCAGGTCTAAACCAGGACTAAACCAGGACTAAACCAGGACTACATCAGGTCTAAACTAAGACTGAACCAGGTCTTAACCCTAACCCTTTGCTGAGGAGGACGGGTCTGGTCTGGACTCTCTCGGATTAAAATTAATTCCAGCCCTTATTTTGTTTTCCAGGTAAAACCTCAATTCAGATTTATTATTTCCATTTAATCTCGAAGGAGAAAATCTTATAATATCTGAACAATTTAATTCAGAACAATTAATTCAGAATTAAAAAACATCATGTAAACGTGGACAGTGAAGTGTCTGGAAAAGCAGAGTATGAGACAAAAATGTTATTTTATTTATTTAATTAAATTTGTATTTATTTTTAATTTCATTATTTTATTTTTTTATTTTTGTTAATTTTATTTTAAATTGTATTTATTTATTAAATTTTTTATTTATTTATTTTAATGTTTTATTTCAATTTTATTTCAATTTTATTTATTTTTTTTTTTCAATTTTTTCAATTTTATTTTTAAATTTAATTAAAATCTTTTATTTTTGTATTATCAATTTATTTATTTATTATTATTATTTATATATATATATATATTTTCATGTATATTTCTGGTCCTGTAGTTTTTATTACAGCCGTATGACACGACTCCAGCAGCAGATTGTGAAATAACACGATGTACTGAACAAAAAAAAGGATGTATAACTCTTTATTTGGGGGTAAAAGGGGGAGATTTAATTGAAAAATTAACAACAAAAAAAGCACTAAAATTGCCTTTAGGTCTGGACGAGTTTGCTGAAATAACAATGTGAGTTCTTGCAGGTGTTCCCATTGAAGCGCTGAGTCCTGAAGAAACGGAGGAGCAGAAACCTGAACCTGTGACGATTAAAGAAGAGCCAGAAGAGCCGGAGCAGCCGGAGGAGCCGGAAGAGCCAGAGGACACATGCTTCCTCCAGCCCGCGCTCCTGAAGACCGAGGATCTCCAGCAGACTCCGGTCAAACATGAAGCTCAGGGAGACGAGACACGAGACGCGCCGCACGGGACGTTTCTACTCAACAAGTCGACGGAACGCTGCAAAGTCTGGACCAAACTGTGGGAACCTCCCGCTCAGGTGGAGATGGAGACAGAGTTGGAGGTCGATCGCGGAGAACAACACCACCAGAGGAACCGACACGCAAGTCCGACGGCGGAATACACGTGTGGAGGCGGCATGGAGGGACGAGGAGAAGGAGCAGAGAGCAGAGCCACGATCAGAGAAGGACAGATCAAACACATAATTCCAGCAGTTTATAACTCCTCAGAGAACAGTTTGTGTTTGAGCAGCGGTAAAACCCACGCGTGCTCCTTCTGCGAAAAGAGGTTCTCGACCAATCAGAGTTTACAGATCCACATACGAGTCCACACAGGGGAGAGACCTTACAGCTGTCCCGTCTGCGAGAAGTGCTTCACGCAAAAGGCTCACCTCAAGACGCACATCAGGACGCACACCAAAGAGAAACCCTACAGCTGTTCGGTCTGCCTCAGGTCGTTTATGCACAAAGTGTCTCTGAATCTGCACATGGAGAAGACTCACCCGGAGCACGTGGGCTGAGAGCTGCTCACTGGGGTTTTAAAGAGAAACTGACTCCTGTGAGATTTAAGACGTGTTTCTAATGTTTTTACTTCATCACAAACGGAGCTGGAGTTGTGTTTGTTTCGTTCATGTTGAAGTAAAATCTGTGTGTCGTTCGTTCGTTCGTTTTTCAATATAAAACCAAAAATAAGAAAATGAAAAAACAACAATTTTCTTCATTATTTGTCTCCAAAAACAAAATGAAAAAAAAAACAGATAATGATTCGTTTTTTCATTTTTCGATTTTGTGTTTAAATGAAAAATGGAAAAAACGGATAAGAACCGTTTCCCGTTTATGTGACTTCCGTGACTGTGATGTCGACCTGAACCAGGACAGATCCAGGTCCGGGACCAGACCGGACTCCAAGCTTTGACTCTGAGCCTCAGCCTCGAGCTCCGGCCCTGCTGTGGACTCTGAACCTGTGGTCTGGTCTTGATCTGGTCCTGGTGTGGTCCCAGTCTGGTCTTGGTTTCAGTCCCGGTCTCAGTCCTGGTCTCAGTCCCGGGCTGGTTCCGGTCTGGTCTTGGTCTTAGTCCCGGTGTCAGTCCCGGTGTCAGTCCCGGTGTCAGTCCCGGTGTCAGTCCCGGTGTCAGTCCCGGTGTCGGTCCCGGTGTCGGTCCCGGTCTGGTCCCGGTCTGGTCCTGGTCTGGTCCCGGTCTGGTCTTGGTCTCAGTCCTGGTCTGGTCCCGGTCTGGTCTTGGTCTCAGTCCTGGTCTGGTCCCAGTCTGGCCTTGGTCTCAGTCCCGGTCTGGTCCCAGTCTGGTCCCGGTCTGGCCTTGGTCTCAGTCCCGCTCTGGTCCCAGTCTGGTCCCGATCTGGCCTTGGTCTCAATCCCGATCTGGCCTTGGTTTCAGTCACGGCCTGGTCTTGGTCTCAGTCCTGGTCTCAGTCCTGGTCTGGTCCCGGTCTGGTCCCGGTCTAGTCCCGGTCTGGTCCCGGACCCGGGTCAGTCTGGCCTCACAGTCACTGAAGTCTCGTAAACGGGAAACGGTCGTTATCTGTTTTTTTCCCATTTTTCATTTAAACACAAAATCAAAAACTGAAAAAACGAATCATGATCTGTTTATTTCATTTTGGTTTTGGAGACAAATAATGAAGAAAATTGTTGTTTTTTCATTTTCTTATTTTTGGTTTTATTTTGAAAAACGAATGACACACGGATTAAGTGAATCTTTATTTTTCGTTTGTTTACATTTACAAAACTCTAAACGTTCTGTTCCACCGTGAGTTTTAAACTCCACACAGCTGCACTAGAATCATCTGGATCATTTTTTCATTGTTGATCTCGACTGAACTAAAGGGAAAAGGAGCTGTTCACCTGAAAACTTCATTTCATATTTTTATTGTTTCGTTCATGTTGAATATAAAATGATTCTGTTCTACACGTCAATGAAATGAAGGAAAAGGAGCAGAAAGAAAAATAAACTTGTAACATCTGTCGCTTTTTCACACAAAATAAAACATTTTCAGTTTTTGTGTCTTTAATAGTTTTTATTTTGATTTTTAGAAGAAAAAAAAAAACTAATAATATTTTACTCAAGTTGAAGTGCAAAGTCGTGGTACAAGAAATGACTCGAGTAAGAGTAAAAAAGTATTTGAGAAAAGTTCTACTCAAGTAAAAGAAATTTAAAGAGTCCGAACATCTGATTTATTATTTTAAAAAGTGAACGTGACAAAACATGAAATAAGTGACAGAATCTGGTGTTTTCAAAGAACAGACACAAAAATGAGACAAACTAAATCAGAAGTGAAGCAGCTGCGACAAACACAAATGTTCAAATCGTTTCATTTTGTCACTTTAGACTCACTCACAGTGGGAAGAGGAAGCACAACTTTTACTCAAGTAACAGTACTGTTACTTCAATACAAATATTACTCAAGTAGGAGACTAGAAAAGTACTCTGAAAAGTACAATTTCTTAAAAAAAAAAAATCACAAAAAAGATTAAAAAACAGAAAACAAAATATTTAAGGGAACAGAAAATACACAAATGCAACTTTGATTTGACAGTTCTAAAATCTAAATACTAATGTTGAAGTCAAGAAAAGAAGACTAATCTGAGACCACATGGTTCCGAGACAAGGACAAGACCAAGACCTCTGAGAATCGAGGCTGAGGCTTTTAAAGGTCAAGACTGAGACAAGACTGAGACCTCTGACAGCCGAGACCAGGACAAGACCAAGACTTTTAAAGGTCAAGACCGAGAGAAGACCAAGACCACAGCCCAAACAGACTAAAACAAGACCATCTTTTTGACATTTATTTGTATTCTGGCACATTTATTTAAATGTTTTTTTATAAATCTATCTCCATTTGATCTGATTAATGTTAATTTAGGATTAAAATAATCCAAACTGTTCTGCTCTGAAACACTCACACTTTTGGACTCTGACCCACAGTTTGAGAAACCCTTCTTTAATCCTGCTTTCACAGGCACTTTTAATCAAAGTGAGTTTTTCCAAGTTCGTGACATTTACAGTTACATTATTTTACCTGTTTTGAAATCATATTCAGCCTCTACATATTTACCAGCCTTAATGAAACATGATCACACTCAACGAGTGTCAAACCTCGAGTCCGACACAAGACCAACACCATAAAAATGTGGTCTCGAGAACACTACTAAACACAAACACACACACACACATACACACACACACACACACACACACACACACACACATCACACACACACACATCACACACACACACACACACACACACACACACACACACACACACACGCACACACACACACATACACACACACACACACACACACACACACACACACACACACACACACACACACACACACACACACACACACACACACACACACACATATATATTAAACTAATAAGAATAATAAATAATAAAAAGTTCTTCAGGTAAATGTTCCTCAGTTCTGTCTTTTCTTCTCAACTCTCGGCTTCTTTGCTTTAGTTAAACAGTAACACTTTCTTATCTTGAGTGCGTTTCTGATCTTTGTGCTTCTTATCTTGACTTTGTTTTTGATCTTTGGACTTTTCTGTTTGATCAGCGGGGATGTGGGCGGGGCCTAACGCGGAAGTGCCGCAGACTCACGGCGTTTAGCTCCGGTTTAGCTCCGGGGCTAAAGCTCAAATTAAACTCAAACTAAACTTAAACTAAACTCTTCCGGTTTGTAAAATGTTTAAAGGACAAACGCCGAGAGTTTGTGTGAAAGAGGAAAAGGACCAGAAGGACTCGGAGGACCAGGAGGACCCGCGGCACCAGCGGCTCTGTGACCCGACTCTGAGCGCACAGGCCCGGCTCCACAGGACACAAGGTACCGCTCCAGTGTCCGCAGCACCGGGGCTCGGCTCGGGTGGGGTCAGGTCCGGTCGGGTCCGGTCTCCGTGGTTCTGGTCGGGCCCAAAACATGAAAAATCTCTGTTGGTGTTTTCAGACTCTAGGATGGGGTCAGAGGTCAGAGGTCAGTTCTATTGATCACGTTAAACCAGGTCTAAACCAGGTCTAAACTAAGACTAAAGTAGGACTAAACCAGGACTATCACAATTTTTTAATAATCTAATTCTACCAACAGTAAAGAGAAGCATAAATTGTCTTTTGTTTTGCCAAAATACAGAAAATTTGCAGAGGTTTTATTTATTCCAAACATCTCAACCTCAGTGTGTCCCAGTTTTTTATTTGGATCATCTGGTCGCCCTGAAATATTCTCACATTTAAAGATCAGAGTTAATTTAAATAAATAAAGCGATGTCAGAGCTGCACCTGTGTCTCTGTCCCACAGATTTATACAAAAACACTGATTTGTCCCACAGTTTATACAAGAAATGTCCCAGTGTCTCTATTTTTGACCAAATCTGATCCTGCAACAGTAAAGAGAAACATAAACTGACATTTGTTTTGGTAAAATACAAAAAAATCTGCTTAAAAACGACAAACACAAAGAAAATGTGACTGTACTGACTCATGTTAAAGCCGAGCGCAGGACAGTTTTCCTTATTTATTTATTTATTTATTTATTTATTAGTTTGAGGCAGGTACAACAAAATTCAAAACCAATCACAAAAATAGTGATTTGTACATGAACATATTTGGGATCTGGTGCTCAAAAGGAGCAGGATGAAGTTAAAAAACTTAGAGTCTTACCCCAACTGTTTTACATAATCACCTGGTTCACTGTGACGGGGGTCGGGGGTCAGGGTTCGGGGGTCAGGGTCAGGTCGGTCGTGCAACAGACCCTGACGACGCAGATTAGATTCTTTGAAAACCACCAAACTTTGTTTACACATCAGACCAACTGCACAGTTTCTCTTTCACTCCAAACTTTCTTTCTGCTGCTTGATTTCCGTTTTCAGCTGCAAATTTCACGACTTGCACTTTGTAATCTGCAGAGTCTGATTTTGTTTTTGGGGCATTGTAATTAATTAATCAGTCATTGCATTTGTGCAGCGCCTTTCAAAACGCCCAAAGCACTTTACAGTTCATTATTCATTCACTCCACACTCGGTGATGTAAACTACTACTGTAGCCACTAGGGATGGGCATGATTAGTCGATTAATCGATAATTGATCATTAAGAATTTCATCGATTACGTTCATTTTAATTGACAAACCGAATGTAGGTTTCTGTGTGTAAAGTAGGGAGACCAAACAGGGTCCGTACATGTAGCTCTTTGCACTCAGAAGGAGCGAGACACAAACAGTGGGTCAGTCTGTAACGAACCGAAGCACAAATGTGGATTTAACCAGGATTTGTAGAAGACATTCCACAGTGTGACAAGTGTGTGCACAATAGCACATAGTGTCCAAGTTTTTCCTGAGAGTTCCGATCCCCCCGTAGGTTTTGACAAACACAAATCTGGTCACACTGACCTGTATTCACCTGAGTCATGTCCAACACAAGTTGAACCACATAGAGCTGGAGTTTTAGTTTTGTTTCTGTGAGATTTGAACAAAACATTAAACACATTATAATGTCAAACAGCTGATGTGGATCTAGAGTCGTTATGTTTATATGTCGTAAAGTTGAATTTATTTATGCAGATTAGTGCAGATAGTAATAATAATGATGATCATTTTAATATAAAAACATTAATGATTAATGGAAAATGAGTCGTTAATTCTCCCGACGATCGAAAATTTCATCAAATGCCCGTCCCTAGTAGCCACAGCTGCCCTGGGGCAGAATGACGGAAGCGAGGCTGCCAATCGGAGACATCGGCCCCTCCGACCACCACCATCACTCACACACACAACACTTTCATACTAGACTATTTATTTATTTATTTATCTATTTATTTGAGACAGGGACAGCGCACAATTTTCGCATTAACCTTGACAGGAGAGATGCATTGTACATCAGGTTGTAGCATCAGTGCTAATTTCCACCTGTCGTCCCTGGACAGGTTCATTGATTGATTGTATTTAACTGACCTTGACTATCAACTGTTCTGGAGACCTGTAGCATGTTTTGGGTGGTGAAGTGTCTTGCCTAAGGACACAACAACAGTTTTTGCTCTGGCGCCTCCTGTGGCTCTTAATGTTCCCAGAGTCTCATCCAAGTCCAGACCAGGTCCAACTTCTGAGCCTCTGAGAACTGACCCCAGATCAGACTCTAACAAATCGATGTGGATAAACCGTTTGTGTTCAGTCGTCTCAGTCTTTGTCTTTATAAGTTTAAAGTTTAAATGTGAAATAGTTGAGCGGTGCAGAAGTAACAGTGCGATCGACTGACATGATCCAGACAGGCTCTTTCTGCAGGAGACATGTGCAGTAGAGCCAAGTGACAGTGGTACAGGAGGAACAGGAGCAGCAGATACTCACACACAAGACTAGAACCTCTCCACACTTCACCAAAAACATTTTTATATAGAAGTCACACCGAGAATAAGTCACAGGAAACACACAAACCAGGAACAAAAGTCACACTTATAGTCTGAAAAACACGGTAACTGTTTTTAATCTGTAATCTGTGTTTTCTGTTTAATTGGAGGTGTAAGTTACATTTATACGCCAAAGTATTTTTTTAAATATTACCATTTTGTGCTTCTCTCCTGCAGCTGTTCAGATGGAGCGGTCCTGCCCTGAGTCCAGAGTGAAGGAGGAAACCCCCGAGAGTCGACAGATTAAAGAGGAGGCAGAGGAGCGGAGCGTGAAACAGGAGGAAGAGCCGCTCCCGGAGTTCACCGTCGTGTGTGTGAAGAGTGAAGAGCCGTCCTCGCTGCTCCGACCGAGACAAACCGAGGCCCGAGAGGAAGAGGAGCGACCGGCGCACGCACACGGACACTTCTCCTCGCGCGCCGACCCACAATCCGACCGCTCCTCTGACACAGACGACGACGAAGACTGGGAGGCTCCGGCCGCCGCTTCCGCCGTGCGCACGGAGACGGAGGAGCACGGAGAGCGCGACGAACGAACGCCGAGGACAGACGCGAGTCCGGCCGCGCACAACTCGGCGGAGAGGAAACACGAGTGCTCCATTTGTAAAAAGGGATTCACCACGAGACTCAACCTCGAGGTGCACATCAGGGTCCACACGGGAGAGAAACCTTACAGCTGTTCGTACTGCGACAAGACATTTGCCCAAAAGGGAAACCTCAACAAACACATAAGGACCCACACGGGAGAAAAACCCTACAGCTGCCCCTACTGCGACAAAGTGTTTTCTCGGAATTCGTGTCTGAGCGAACACATCAACACGCACACCGGGGAGAGACCTTACAGCTGTTCGTGCTGCGAGAAAATGTTCACGGAGAGCTCGACCCTCCGGCGCCACATGAGGACCCACACGGGAGAGAAACCCTACAGCTGCTCGGTTTGTAAGAGAACGTTTGCGCAGCAGGCGACGTTAGATAAACACGCGATAATCCACACGGGAGAGCGACCTTTCAGCTGTCCGTTCTGTCAGAAGACGTTCACGTACAAGTCTGCTCTCGGGGTCCACATCAGGATCCACACGGGGGACAAACCTTACAGCTGTTCGAACTGCGAGAAAGAGTTTAGGAGCAAATGCACGCTGGACAAACACATGATGACGCACACCGGGGAGAAACCCTACAGCTGCTCAATTTGTAACAAAACCTTTGCGTACAAGTTGAGTCTGGAAGTTCACACGCGCGTTCACACGGGGGAGAGACCCTTCAGCTGCTCGGCCTGCGGGAAAGCGTTTCTCGACGGATCCGCGCTGAAGAAACACGAGAGAACTCACGCCAGAGAGAAACCTTTCAGCAGTTCAGACCCTCAGAAAACCTCGGTGTCGTGAACGCGCCGCGTCGAGGGCGTTTTTCTGTTTCAACGAAAACACGAGGACGGAGGATTTGATTTAGAATTTAAGAGATTCTAAAAACACAAAACTGTTTTTTTTAATTTTCCTCGTCACAATCGACTCGATTCACGACGAAGACGTTTGGAAACACGAGGAGGACGACGTCTGATGGAGCTACAGACACTGAGAACGTGATAAAACCAGGACTAGACCAGGACTAAGCCAGGACTAAACCAGGACTAGACCAGGACCAGGACTAAACCAGGACTAAACCAGGACTAAACCAGGACTAAACCAGGACTAGACCAGGACCAGGACTAGACCGAGACTGGACCGGGACTGGACCAACACCAGACCAGACTAAACCAGGACTAAACCAGGAATAAACCAGGACCTAGACCAAGACTAGACCAGGACCAGGACTGGATCGGGACTGAACCAGGACTGGATCGGGACTGAACAGGACTGAACCAGGACTGAACCAGGACTGAACCAGGACTAAACCAGGACTAAACCAGAACTAAACCAGGACCTAGACCAGGACTAGACCACGATTTAGACCAGGACTAGACCAGGACTAAAGCTGGACTAAACCAGAACTAGACCAGGACCAGAACTAAGCCAGGACTAGACCAAAACCAGACAAGGACTAATGCAGGACTAAACCAGAACTAAACCAGGTCTAAACCAGGACTGAACTGTGGTTTTAGCAGAAGTGTCTTCTCTCTAAAGGTCGAGGTCGGAACTGTTGATCTGAAGGACGTAACGGTTTAATTAAAATTATAAAACACAAATGAACAGCCAATTTATAAAAGGAAAAAAAGAATCCACATGTTTCCAAACGTCGGCCGGTTTTGTGACGTCAGAGTGAACGGAGAACCTCGTCTCGTGACTTTTGGGGTAAACGACGTGAACCAAAAATCCACCGAGACTGAGACGAGCTTCAGAACCAGATCATGTTTCATTTTCTTGAGTTCGGTTTATTCTGGGCGCTCAGCGGGTGGGGCTCAGGTGGGCATGTTTCTGGATGTTTCTGGATATTTCTGGATGTTTCTGGATGCATTTATTACGTAAAACTTATGAAAAATGAAGAAACAGAAATGTGAAAATGTTTAATTTGTCCAACAATGTGCAGATCTCAAATGAAACGAGGCGAGAGTTTTACAGAAACACTCTTCACGTTTTAATAACATCTGGACCAAAGAGGATTGTGTTTTGTGTTTGTTTGTTTTTTCGACTGTTGCCGTGGTAACACTCCCTGAATCGAGATCATGATTCTGTGATTTGTGACGGTTTGAGTCAGATCGTCTGTCAGGAAAAACGGTTCTCGTTCTCAGACTCATTTGGAGTGAAGTTTGGATCGTCTGTAAAATAAGCACTGATTAAAATCTATTGTTTATGTTGAAGAATTTCTGAATCAGAAAAAAAAAAAAGTGCCTTCTTCCATCGTACAACGTTGTTCCTCATCTTAGACTTTCCTCAATAGAAATAATTTGAACACAGGAGCTCACACATCACAATATTACGACGGAGTGTAAGGGTCAGATAAAAAATTTTTTTTTTAAATGCTGGCGCTACGAGAATAAAGTCGTAACATTTGGACATTAAAGTCGTAATATTATGAGAATAAAGTCGAAGCCAGAAAAAGTGGTAATATTAGGAGAATATCGGCGGCTCGTGGAGAATTTGGAGCATTTTGTAAAGGAGAAGAATCCGTGTATCATTCGTTCATTTGACTGAACAAGGACTGAATCAGGACTAAATCAGGTCCGGAACCAAACCAGAACTAAGACCAGGATTGAGACCGGGACCAGACCAGGACTGAAAACAGTTTAGTCCTAGTTTAGTCCTGGTTTAAATCACGGAAATGGGAAATGGCGTTTCCGTGACTTTAAAATGCGATGCGGGAATATTACGCCACATACGGACTGAACCAGGACTGAACCAGGACTGAATCAGGACTAAACCGTTTTCAGTCCTGGTCCTGTTCCCGGTCTCAATCCTGGTCTCAGTTCTTGTCTGATCCCGGTCTAAGTCCCGGTCTGGTCTCGGACCTCGTTTAGTCCTGGTTTAGTCCTGGTTCAGTCCTGGTTCAGTAATTCATATTATAACTTTGTTCTCATAATATTACGACTTTATTTTAACTTCGACTTTATTCTCATAAAATTACGACTTTAATTTCGAAATGTTATGACTTTATTCTCGTAGCGCCAGCATTTTTTATTTATTTACCCTTATACTCCGTTGTAACAATATAATATAATAACAATATTTAATTTTATTTAATTTATTTTTGTTTATTTAATTTTAATTTAGTTTCAATTATTTTATTTTATTTTTGTTTATTTTTTTATTTAGTTTAGTTTGGTTTCATTTATTTTATTTTAAATTGTATTATATATATTTTTTCTTATTTTTTATTTTTTTGTTTTGTTGTTTTTTTTCTAATTTAATTTGTTTATTATCATGAAGTCGTGTTTCAGTTCACTCTCCTCGTCAGTTGGCGGCGGTAAAGCTCCTGCCGTTTTTTCGCCAATCTACAATAAAACCTCATGAGAAGAAGAAGAATGCTAATGCTAAAGCTAATGCTAATGCTAAAGCTAAGAGCGGAAGTGGAGTTTAGAGTTTCGGGAAAAATAAAATGTCTAAACTCCGCGTCCTGAGAGCTCTGGTGTCCGAGAGACTCTCTGCGGCCGCGGACGAGATCTTTGCTCTGGTGGAGACGACGATAGCGGAATATGAAGAAGAACTGCGCCGCTCCAGAGAGGAGAACCAGAGGAACCAGAGGAACCAGCGGCTCCCGGACCCGAGCGGCGCCGGAGACAGAGCAGGTGAGTCCCGCCTCAGAGCGGCTCATCACCCGCCGCGCCGCCCCCGGAGCCGCGGCTCTTTATGCGGCTCCGGACTAAACCAGGTCTAAATCAGGTCTAAACCAGGACTAAACCAGGTCTAAACCAGGTCTAAACCAGGTCTAAACCAGGAATAAACCAGGACTAAACCAGGTCTAAACCAGGTCTAAACCAGGACTAAACCAGGTCTAAACCAGGACTAAACCAGGTCTAAACCAGGTCTAAACCAGGAATAAACCAGGACTAAACCAGGTCTAAACCAGGTCTAAACCAGGACTAAACCAGGTCTAAACCAGGACTAAACCAGGTCTAAACCAGGTCTAAACCAGGACTAAACCAGGTCTAAACCAGGTCTAAACCAGGTCTAAACCAGGTCTAAACCAGGAATAAACCAGGAATAAACCAGGACTAAACCAGGTCTAAATCAGGTCTAAACCAGGACTAAACCAGGTCTAAACCAGGACTAAACCAGGTCTAAACCAGGTCTAAACCAGGAATAAACCAGGACTAAACCAGGTCTAAATCAGGTCTAAACCAGGACTAAACCAGGTCTAAACCAGGACTAAACCAGGTCTAAACCAGGTCTAAACCAGGTCTAAACCAGGAATAAACCAGGTCTAAACCAGGAATAAACCAGGAATAAACCAGGACTAAACCAGGTCTAAATCAGGTCTAAACCAGGACTAAACCAGGTCTAAACCAGGACTAAACCAGGCCTAAACCAGGTCTAAACCAGGACTAAACCAGGACTAAAGTAGGTCTAAACCAGGACTACACCAGGACTAAACCAGGTCTAAATCAGGTCTAAACCAGGACTAAACCAGGTCTAAATTAGGTCTAAACAAGGACTAAACTCTAACATAAAGAGTAAAAAATATAAATGGTAATAATAAATTTTAAATAAGTAGCAAAAAAGACAAAAACGCCACAAAAGCCTGTGGAGACATCTCCCGCAGAATCCACTTTCCAGACCTTTCTACCTTCTTAGAGTGATGTGTGGGCCTTGGATGTGTCGTCAAAATGGTTTTTAGATTGACACGATATAATAAGTTGATCTACTAGTGTTTATTAAACTTTACCAATCGGTAATGTTCAGCTGATGTGGACGCGGTGCTTGAGCTTCGTGCACCTCAAAGTCCTCGTCCGATTCCGGGTCCAACACATGCGGCTGAACGCGCTGTATCTCCATGATGAATAAAAGTTTATTCCTGCCGCTATCAGGGTCACGTCTGTCTCCCCCTCCCTCCCTGAGATGGCGGAGGAAGGGCGGCTCACTCAGAGTCTACGTCACGTTTGGAGGGCGGAGCCTGTGCTTTCTCAGGACGGGCGCGGGGAGGAGCAATAGTCGGACTTTCATAGTTCCTAGTCTGTGACTGATCCAAGAAATCTATTGTGTAATGGATGTTCCAAAACCCAAACTGTGCTTGTTTATGTGCAGAAGATACAATGTGAAAGAGTTAGTCTGTGTTCAGACTGCAGGGCTTAACGCTCAATTCCGATTTTTTTGTGTGAAATCTGATGTTTTTTCGAGGTCGTTCACATTTCCAGTTAAATGTGACTTGTATGTGACTCCAGTGTGAACATTAAACGGCCCGTAAGTGTCCCACATGTGACACTGGAGACACGACGACGTCAACCGCAGCGAGCGTCTCTGTGTTTACACAAGTTGTCCAAACATGGACGCAGCATCGAGCACCTGGAGATTTTAAAGTTCCTCTCGTACCGGAGCCAGAACATGAACAACTGACTTGTTTTAAGGAGGAGATTGAGAAGGAGAAGGACGAGGTTTTTGGTCGTGGTGTTTTGTGGGACAGAACGTTGAAAGGAACGTGTGGATGTGGAGACGGAGCCAAGAGTGATGAGTGGAGATGTGCTTCACCTCAGTGACACAGAGTTCATTAACAATTTTCTCCTACTTCAGTGCAGAATAGTGACGTTTGTGTCTTGTTGATAACATGTAGGTGGATGAATGTGACCTGACCGTTCACACTGAAGTCACATGTCAAAAGATCAGATATGGATCAGTTTCAGGAGCACAGGTCCAAGTGTCCTGGGTCACATTTGAAAAAATCAGATCTGTGTGGTTCAGATCAGGTCAAAATCAACTCAATATAGAAACAATGAAATCAAACGGTTTGTACAAAAGTGTCACTGTTGAAAAGCGTCTGTTACTGTTCATTACTAATGTTTGATTCTTTTCTCCTGCAGCTGTTCAGAGCCGCTGGTTCAGCCCAGAGCCGAGTATCAACGAGGAAAAAGCAGCGAGTCCACGGATTAAAGAGGAGGCAGAGGAGCCGAGCGTGAAACAGGAGGAAGAGTCGCTCCCGGAGTTCACCGCCGTGTGTGTGAAGAGCGAAGAGCCGTCCTCACTGCTCCGACTGAGACAAACCGAGGCCCGAGAGAAAGAGGAGCAGCCGGCGCGTGCACAGGGACACTTCCCCTCGCGCGCCGACCCGCAAACCGACCGCTCCTCTGACACGGACGACGACGAAGACTGGGAGGCTCCGGCCGCCGCTTCCACCGCGCGCACGGAGACGGAGGAGCACGGAGAGCGCGACGAACAAACGCCGAGGAAACGAAAAGGAGCAGGAGGAGAGATTCTGGAGTGCCCGTTCTGTCAGAAAGGCTTCACGACGAAACACAACTTGGAGACGCACACCAGGGTTCACACTGGCGAGAAAACCTACAGGTGTCCCATCTGCCGCAGCTCGTTTGTGCGTAAGTGCTCGCTGAAGGCTCACGCGCGAACGCACCGGGATGGAAACCTGTACCGCTGCTCCGTGTGCGCGCGAGCCTTCCCCCAACTCTCCTCGCTCACGCAGCACTACCGCACGCACACCGGGGAGAAGCCTTACAGCTGTTCAGTTTGCAACAACAGGTTCACGCAGCATCACCACCTCACGGAGCACATGAGAACCCACACCGGGGAGAGGCCTTACAGCTGTTCAGTGTGCGGGAAAGCGTTCGCGCGATCGTTCACTCTGAAAATCCACCATCGGCAGCACAAAAGCGGTCAGGACGCGCAGGGGGGGCGTTTGTCGTTGCGTTTGTCGGCCGCTCAGAGGGAGAGCGGCGTCTCTGCCCCAGGAGCGCCGGGACACGCGAGCGCGAACGCGACAACGCAGCGAGAGGGGAAACTCTACTGCTGCTCGGTCTGCGGAAGGACATTCTCCCAGTTGTCCTCGCTTACGCAGCACAACAGGACACACACGGGCGAGAAACCTTACAGCTGTTCGGTCTGCAATAACAGGTTCACGCAGCAGCATCACCTGACGGAGCACATGAGGATTCACACCGGAGAGAGACCGTACAGCTGCTCTGTCTGCGGGAAAACCTTCGCTCGGTCGTTCACGCTGAAAATTCACATGAAAACGCACGGAGCGGCTCCCTGCAGCAGTTCAGCTCAGACTCTGGTGTTTTCTCCAGATCTCCTCCAGATGGAGACCTGCCGGGAACAGCTGCAGGGTCTGGATGAGAGAAACGTGTGAAAAGACGACTCAGAGAAACCTTACAGCTGTTTACGCTCGCACAAAGTTCATCTCTTCAGTTTAAGAAGCAGCATCTCGAGTCACAGTTAAACGGTTCTTCGCTTCTTTCTTAAAAAAACTAAAAGCTTGAGGCGTTTGGATGGAAAAAAACACCTCACAGCGATGGAGCAAAACTGAAACAGAAGAAATGTTACTGTTACTAACGTCTTCTCACTCAAAATGTCCCAGTGAGTGTGTTTACGTGCACATCAGTGTCAGTATGGTTGGGTTTTTTGAGTTACAACGGTCGCTTGTTTATTGTTATTGTTTATGTTTTAAAAAATAACCCGCAATAGGCGAAGTGTCAGCTTTTGTGTGTGTCTCTGTGTGTGTGTGTGTGTGTGTGTGTGTGTGTGTGTGTGTGTGTGTGTGTGTCCACCCTCGAAAATTCCACCATTTATGAACCGATTGGCACCAAATTTGGTACGTGGGTCAAGCCTAGACCTGTGACGATCACAGATTTTGCTGGACAATTAATTGACCAAGAATTCATTGCGATAAACATTAATATTGACATTTTGAGACCAATTTCAACTAATATAATGACCATGGAATAAAAATTCAAATACATCCTTTCAAACATCAATAAACCTTATATTCTAAATAACATTTAACACAGGAAGTGTAAGACAAGTGTTTCTGCAGCTCTGGCCTCGGCGTTTTGGTCATTTAAATGTTCGTATTGAGACTCAGGATCCTGTTTCAGCCTGAGGGAGTCTCTGTTCTGTCTGGTGTCGTGTCTGTGTCTTGTGGAATTTCAGTGGATTTCGGTCTCTCTCGGGGGCGGGGTTAGTTCTGTCTCTCAGGTTTGGTTTATATTGGCTGTTGGGGTTTGAGACGTTTCTTCGTCGTTTGCGTTTCACTCGCTGTATTTGACGCATGTGTCTGTTGAGACGTGTCCCGCTCACCAGTGTTGATTCGGCGTCGTGACTTGTTTTGTCAAATGGAGATGAACTGTTTTGGTTCTGATGGCGGCGTTTGTGTTGTGGCTTCATGTTAAACCGCACAGACAGCGGCGCGTTCCACACTCGGGACCAGACCAAGACCAGACCGAGACCGGGACCAGAGTGGGACTGAGACGCAGACCAGAGCGGGACCAGACCGGGACTGGGACCAGACCGGGATTGAGACGCAGACCAGACCGGGACCAGACTGAGACCAGAGCGCGACCAGACCGAGACTGGGACCAGACCGGGACCAGAGCGAGACCAGACCGAGACTGGGACCAGATCGGGACCAGAGCAAGACCAGACCGAGACTGGGACCAGATCGGGACTGAGAGCGCGACCAGACTGAGACTGGGACCAGACCGGGACCAAAGCGAGACCACACCGAGACTGGGACCAGACCCGGACTCCGAGCTTTGACTTCGAGCCTCTGCGGGGTCCGAGCCTCAGCCTCGAGCTCCGGTCCTGCTGTGGGCTCTGAGCCTCTGGTCTGGTCCCGGTCTGCTCTCGGCCTCAGTCCCGGTCTCAGTCCCGGTCTGCGTCTCAGTTCCGGTCTGGTCTCAGTCTGGTCTCGGTCTGGTCCCACAAATAATGAAGAAAAGTTGTTTTTTCGTTTCTTATATTTGGTTTTATATTGAAAAACGAATGAACGAATGACACATGGATTTACACGGATTCTCTGCTGTCCTTTTTTCTATTTTGTAAAATTATGTCAAGAAACCGGGACACTCCGTTTGATCGAGTCACAGGGAGATGAGAGTCCCGGTTTGTGAACACAGTGTCCCAAAAACTGACCGAGATCTGGATAAAACCCGGGACACTGATGAGCAGGTAAACGTACTCAAGTGTTTGTGCAGTGAACAAACTCCTCCTCCTCTTCCTCCTCCTCCTCCTCTTCCTCCTCCTCATCCTCTTCTTCCTCCTCCTCATCCTCTTCTTCCTCCGTCTGTGTTCATTTTAACTCCAGTGTGAAACCTGAGAACAAAGAAGAGAAGAAGAAAACACACACCCCCACACACACAGGTCACAAACCATGCAGCTGTTAGACATGTGTATTCGCTGTTTGGTAAAAACCTTTCGTGTGTTCAGTTTGTGACTTTAAACGGGACGCAGTTTGGTTTGGTTCAAATGTAAAAAAAAAAAAAAAAAAGATAAGAAGAATAAGAAAAGGCCGTGTAAATGTTTGTGTTTGTGAGACTCTGTGAATCTGTCACAGTTTCAGTAAAAAAAGAAAAGAAAAACTGTAACGAAGGATCATAAACATTTAACTTAAGTTTTAAGTTTTTGAGAAAAATCCCACACGACAACTTTCTTCATCAGGTTGCTGAACTTTTGTGCCGTATATGGACTAAACCAGGACTAAACCAGGTCTAAACCAGGTCTGAACCAGGACTGAACCAGGACTAAACCAGGTCTAAACCAGGTCTAAACCAGGACTGAACCAGGACTGAACCAGGACTAAACCAGGACTAAACCAGGTCTAAACCAGGTTTAAACCAGGACTGAACCAGGACTAAACCAGGACTGAAACAGGACTAAACCAGGTCTAAACCAGGTCTGAACCAGGACTGAACCAGGTCTAAACCAGGTCTAAACCAGGACTGAACCAGGACTAAACCAGGTCTAAACCAGGTCTGAACCAGGACTAAACCAGGACTAAACCAGGTCTAAACCAGGTCTAAACCAGGACTAAGTCAGATCTAAACCAGGTCTAAGCCAGATCTAAACCAGGTCTAAGTCAGATCTAAACCAGGTCTAAGTCAGATCTAAACCAGGTCTAAACCAGGACTAAACCAGGATTAAACCAGGTCTAAACCAGGTCTAAACCAGGTCTAAACCAGGACTATACCAGGACTGAACCAGGACTTAAGGTTTAGTCCTGGTTTGTGTTGTTTGTTTGTATAAATTTCACATTTTGCAGTAAAATAGTGTGTGGGATTTTTCTCTCTGCTCTCGGGCTTCTTCTTCTTCTTCTTTTTCTCCAACGCTCCGTCTCAAGTAACTGATGTGCAAAGTTCTCAATTTTTTTACAAGATTTTTTAAGATGTTCCTCAAAATGTGTTTCATAAAGTTTCTTGTATTTGTGTCTGTGTCTGTGTAAACTCTGGAACACGGGACTGAAAAATCTCCGAAAGACGATTCCTCTGTGATTCCTGCAGAATCAGAAGTTTCCAAACGTCTGAACAGTTTTATTTTACAGTTTCAACTCCTTTTTTTAAATAAAATGTTCAGAAAAGTTGTATTTTGTCTTAAATCTGCAAGTCATTTGTTCATTTGTTTTTCAAAATAAACCCAAAAACAAGTCCTGGGTTAGTCCTGATTTAGTCCTAATTTAGTCCTGGTTTAGTCCTGGTTTAGTCCTGGTTTAGTCCTGATTTAGTCCTGATTTAGTCCTGTTTAGTTCTGGTTTAGTCCTGGTTTAGTCCTGATTTAGTCCTGATTTAGTCCGAGTTTAGTTCTGGTTTAGTCCTGTTTTAGTCCCAGTTTAGCCCTGTTTTAGTCCTGGTTTAGTCCCAGTTTAGTCCTGGTTTAGTCCTGATTTAGTCCTAGTTTAGTTCTGGTTTAATCCTGGTTTAGTCCTGGTTCAGTCCGTTATCCATTTTTTTCCATTTTTCATTTAAACACAAAATCAAATACTGAAAAAAATCAAATCATTTTCTGGTTTTTCATTTTGGTTTTGGAGACAAATAACGACGAAAATTGTCATTTATTTTTTGTTTTTCGTTTTCTTATTTTTGGTTTTATTTTGAAAAACAAATGAACAAAGGACACACAGATTGTCTTACGCTAATTTCTTTGACTTTGTTTGGTTCTTTATATAAAAAATTAAAAAAAATTAAATAAATAAACATGTCTTCTGGTTAAAACGCAGTGAGCCTGAGCGCGCGGGTTCCCTCCGCTCCTGCAGGGGGCGGCACTGCTCAGACCGACGCGGAAAACCCTCAGTCCGGTTTTGGTTTTCCTCCGGCGCTGAAGCTAAAAATTAAAAAGGTAAAAATCCAGTTTTGGTGTAAAATGTGTGAGAAGAGGCGCAGACTCAGAGCTCTGGTCACGGAGAGACTCTCTGCGGCCGCGGACGAGATCTGTGCTCTGCTGGAGACGACGATAGCGGAATATGAAGAAGAACTGCGCCGCTCCAGAGAGGAGAACCAGAGGAACCAGAAGAACCAGAGGAACCAGAGGAACCAGAGGAACCCGGAGCTCCTGGACTCGACTCTGCGGCCTCAGGTGCAGCTCCACAGGTTACCGGGTGAGAGCTTCGGTTTATTTCTCTTTTTATTTCTCGCTTCGGTCAGAAACAGCGGCACGAAAACGATAAAAAATAAATAAATAAATGAATGAATAAATAAATAAATAAACCGTGCGTCCTGTGCGTAAAAAGCGCGTTGGGTTTGTGCGTCGGTGCGAAGAAAGATTTAGAAATATTGATGTTCTCAAGATACAAATCTGTGAATATTTGGCTGTAGTTGAGCAAAAAAAAAAAAAAAAAAAAAAGACAGAACTAAACCAGGTCTAAACCAGGACTAAACCAGGTCTGAACCAGGTCTAAACCAGGACTAAACCAGGTCTGAAACAGGTCTGAACCAGGACTAAAACTGGAGTAAAACTGGACTAAACCTGGACTAAACCTGGTCTGAACCAGGACTGAACCTGGACTTAACCTGGACTTAACCTGGACTAAAACTGGAGTAAAACTGGACTAAACCTGGACTAAACTGGACTAAACCTGGACTAAACCTGGACTAAACCTGGACTAAACCAGGTCTGAACTAGGACTGAACCAGGACTTAACCTGGACTTAACCTGGACTTAACCTGGACTAAAACTGGACTAAAACTGGACTAAAACTGGAGTAAAACTGGACTAAACCTGGACTAAACCAGGTCTGAAACAGGTCTGAACCAGGACTAAAACTGGAGTAAAACTGGACTAAACCTGGACTAAACCTGGACTAAACCAGGTCTGAACCAGGACTGAACCAGGACTAAAACTGGACTGAACCAGGACTAAACCTGGACTAAACCAGGACTAAAACAGGTCTAAAACTGGACTGAACCAGGACTAAACCTGGACTAAACCATGACTAAAACAGGTCTAAAAATGGACTGAACTCTAGATTTTGCGTTGGCCTCGTCTCTTGAAAAACACACAAAAAAAACTATGAAATAAAAAGAAGAAATTGCTGCACAAACGTTTCCTAAACCTCTTTTTCTGAATCTCTGAGTTTGAATAATCCAGGTATGATTTAGATTTTATTTATATAAAAAAACACTGGTTTTGTTTGAGAACCGCGTCGTACGTCGTCTTTAATCACCTCAAACTGGGGCTGAATCGTTTGGGGAAATAACGGAAGTGGAATTTTTCTGACCAACATTGTGATTTAGATTTTTGATTTCTATTTTAACAAAAAGATTCTGTTCAAAATTTCACATTTTTAACACGTTTAGAAGAATCGACCAAGACTCAAATCTGATCTGGAGGGTTTTTATGCAGAGTAAAACATTTCAGAACGTGTTTGTAGAGAGTTTTAGAGCAGAATAAAACAGGAGATTTTGTTGTTTGTCGTTTCAAAACCCTAAAAAAGAGCAGATAAAACCGCCTCTTAGAACGTTATTTTATCTTGTCTTGCAGATTTTCTTTGCGCGGAAACGGTGAGTCACGGACAACTTTTGGTTAAAACTGAACCAGAGGAGCTGAGCCTCGTGCCAGAATTGAACCTTCAACCCACGCGGAGCCCGTACGTCCACGTGAAAGTGAAAGACGATGCTCCGGACGCCGACTTCAGGCCAGAACGACCGATCGCGGATGAGAATGAAACAGCCCTGCACCCGGAAGAACCGATCACGGACGAGAACGAGATTAATCGGCTCCGGTACGAACCGAATCGTTTCAGTTTCAAGAGTGGAGTGTCCCTGCCCGAAGAAGAACTCATCATGGACGAGAACGAAACTGTTGAACTCCTGAATGAACCGATCCATTTCAGTTTCAAGAAAGAAGAAGCCCTGCCCCAAAGAGAAACAAACATGAACGAGAATGAAACTGTCCGGCTCCCGAATGAACCGATCCGCTTCAGGTTCAAGAAAGAAGAAGCCCTGCCCCAAAGAGAAACAAACATGAACAAGAATGAAACTGTCCGGCTCCCGAATGAACCGATCCGCTTCAGGTTCAAGAGTGAAACGGCCCTGCCCCAAAGAGAAACAATCATGGACGAGAGTGAATCTATTGAACTCCTGAATGAACCGATCTATTTCAGGTTCAAGAGTAAAGCGACTCTGCCCCAAGAAGAACCGATCATGGACAAGAGTGAATCTGTCCGGCTCCTGAAAGAACCGATCCGTTTAAGGTTCAAGAAAGAAGCGGCCCTGCCCCAAAGAGAAACAAACATGGACGAGAACGAAACTGTTCAACTCCTGAAAGAACCGATCCGTTTCAGGTTCAAGAGTGAAACGGCTCTGCCCCAAAGAGAAACAATCATGGACGAGAGTGAATCTGTTGAACTCCTGAATGAACCGATCCGCTTCAAGTTCAAAAGTGAAGCGGCCCTGTCCCAAAGAGAAACAAACATGGACGAGAACGAAACTGTCCAACTCCTGAATGAACCGATCCGTTTCAGGTTCAAGAAAGAAGTGGCCCCAATCCAAGAAGAACTGATCATGGACGAGAACGAAACTGTCCAACTCCTGAAAGAACCAGTACGTTTCAGTTTCAAGAAAGAGGACCGAGAGCAGCCGGAGCGAATTCCAGTAGAAGACGAGGGCGAGGACGAGCCGAGCTTCGATCCGAACCTGCCGCAAACCTCGTCCTCCGCCCCGGGACCGAACAGCCGCCTGAAGACCTGCCCCATCTGCAACAAAACCCTGAAACGAGACCTGTGGAGCCACGTCCTGCTGCACACCGGAGAGAGACCTTACAGGTGTTCGGTCTGCAAGAAGGGCTTCACGCGGAAGAGCTCGCTGTACATGCACCGGATCCTGCACATGGAGGTCAAACCGTTCCACTGCGCGGTCTGCGATAAACGTTTCGCGCAGAACTCGCAGCTGAAGGTGCACCGGTGCGTTCACGTGACGCGGCGGCGCAGGCAGAAGGAACGGACGAGGATCAAACACGAGAACAACGGCAAACAAAACGAGCAGCGGAAAGAAAGTCCGGAGTGAGAGAGAAACTCGAGACGCCGGGAAGATCCGAGGGTCGGTCGTTTATTCGATTTTCAAAATAAAAACAAAAATAAGAAAACGAAAAAACCGACGATTTTCTTCATTATTTGTCTCCAAAACCAAAATGAAAAAACGGATAAAGATTTGTTTTTTTTTTTTTTTTTTCTTTTTCTTTTTTTTTTGATTTTGGGTTTAAATGAAAAATGGAAAAAAAGGATAAAGACAGTTTCCAGTTTCTGTAAAACTGCAATACTGGACTAAACCAGGACTAAACAAGAACTAAACCAGGTCTAAACTAGGACTAAACCAGGACTAAACCGGGACTAACCCTGGACTAAACCAGGTCTGAACCAGGACTGAACCAGGACTAAACTGGGTCTAAACCAGGACTAAACCAGGTCTAAACCAGGACTAAACCGGGACTAACCCTGGACTAAACCAGGTCTGAACCAGGACTGAACCAGGACTAAACTGGGTCTAAACCAGGACTAAACCAGGTCTAAATTGGGTCTAAACCAGGACTAAACCAGGACTGAACCTGGACTGAGTGTCAGGACGGGCTCGGAGTTGCACCTGTGTAGTCGGGTGATCGGGACTGAGACCGGGACCAGTCCTGGTCTAGTCCCAGAATCATTATCCGTTATCTGTTTTATCATTTTGGTTTTGGAGACAAATAATGAAGAAAATCGTAGTTTTTTTTTTTTTTTCGTTTTATTATTTTTTGTTTTATTTTGAAAAACGAATGAACAAATGACACTCAGATTCTGGAGGATGAACCATGAAACCTTCCTGAAGTCACTGGATGGACGGACAAAGTCTGGACTTCAGCGACACCGAAACCATCCTGTCGAGATTCAGAAAGACCAGAATAATTCTAACTGGAACTAGAAATGTAACAAAAACTGAAAAATCGTGATATCGTATCGTCAAAAGTCTCAATAATATCGTGGACTGTCACAATTTATCGAATCACAAGTTTCTTTTGCTTAAATTCATAGTTTTATAAAACCAACAGCTTATAAACTACATTTCCCATGATTCATTTCAGCGCAGAAAACATGAAGAGACGTGGGTTTAACTGAATTCTTGGGATTATGATGGAAATAATTCACACCAAAATCTTGTCAAGGTGTTTTAAAAGTAAAAAAAAGTCTCACATCTACAGTTATTATTATTCTCTCCAAAATATCACAATAAATATCAGATCGTGAGATTTGGAACTAGGGACGTAACAATAACTGATAAATTGTGATATTGTATCTGGGTGATATGGAGCAAAAAATATATCTGGATATATTTTGCTGTATCTTGATATACGATATAAATCTCGATATCTGTACAGGAAAAAAAATAAATTACCCAAAAACTCCTGCAAAAACAAATATGCCAAATTCAACGATGTCTTTTTTTTATTGAAGCGCAAAGAGGTCGGCAGTTCATGTGGGAACAAAGTGCTTCTGCCACATTTAAGATTACAAAAAAAAAACTTATTACGTAAATAATAATTTAACTGTAAAATAAAAGAAATAAAACATGTGTAGCATCCCGGTTGAAATGATGGTCTCATACACTGATCCAATTCAATCCACTTTATTTCTGTCGCACATTTCACAAACAAACTGTTTCCAAAGTGCTGCACAAATACATAAAAATAACAATAAGATGATAAAATAAACTACTAAAATAATACTAGTCTTAAAATAAATAAAAAAACAGTAAAATAAAATAAAACCAGTAAAATAAAAAATAAAAAAAATCATAGAATAGAAATAAATAAACCAATAAATAAATAAATTAAATCAGTAAAACCAATAAAAACACATAAAAAATAAATAAAAGACACAGAGGAGCAGACAACTCCCGCGGTGTTAAAAACCAGAGAATAAAAGTGGGTCTTCAGACGAGACTTAAAATCTGATTGTTCACAACTTTTATTTTTGGGCCTTGTTTGTGAACACACCGTAAGAAGTACAAAAGAGTGAAATAAAAAACAATTAGCTCTCAGTGTACCTTTTACTCCTTTTAACCTTTCAATCATTTAACCATTTATGACAATCTCCAGTCTGATCAATAATTACTATTTCTCGACAACAATTCTCATAAAACCTGAACCTTGCTATTAATCTGTATTGTACGACAGAGTATTAAAAACAAAAACAAAAAAAGATGCAGGAGCTACGAGAATAAAGTCGTAATAAAATCAAAGTCAAAGTGAAAAATGCGGCAGAAGAAGAAACTTGTTTTTCAAAATAAAACCAAAAATAAGAAAATGAAAAAAAACAAAACAATTTTCTTCATTGTTTGTGCCTCCGGACTGAACCAGGACTAAACCAGGACTAAACCAGGACTAAACCAGGTCTAAACCAGGACTAAACCAGGACTAAACAAGGACTAAACCAGGTCTAAACCAGGACTAAACAAGAACTAAACCAGGTCTAAACTAGAACTAAACCAGGTCTAAACCAGGACTTAGACCGGGACGAGACAAGGACTGAGTCCGGGATCAGACAAGAACTGAGACCAGGATTGAGACCAGGACCAGACCAGGACTGAAAACGGTTTAGTCCTGGTTCAGTCCTGGTTTAGTCCCACATCGCATTTTAAAGTCACGGAAACGCCATTTCCCATTTCCATGACTTAAACCAGGACTAAACCGTTTTCAGTCCTGGTCTGGTCCCGGTCTCAATCCTGGTCTTTCTGGTTTGGTTCCGGACCTGATTTAGTCCTGATTCAGTCGAATGAACGAATGATACACAGATTCTTCTCCTTTACAAAATGCTCCAAATTCTCCACGAGCCGCCGATTTTCTCCTAACATTACCACTTTATTTTGACTACCACTTTATTCTCATAAAATTATGACTTTTTCTGGCTTCGACTTTATTCTCTTAATATTACGACTTTAATGTTGAAATGTTACAACTTTATTCTCCTAGCGCCAGCTTTTTTTTTTTTTTATCTGACTCTTATACTCCGTCGTAATATTGAACAAGAAATTACACATTAAAATGAATTGTCAAACTGCGCATTGCTCAGGCGAAGCGCACTGGCGCCATCTAGTGGATAAAATTATAACGCGTTGACACTAAATTAGAACAACTCAACGTACAAAAAACAAAACTAAACACTTCCAAAGCAAAATAATTCCAATATTGTTCCTTGCTAACCTTGTTCCCGTATCAACCAGGTGCTAAGCGCGGATAGACCAAATATTAACATATTAACTCTTTACATTTTTAGTTACGTTTAGATTAAACAAACAAAACTTCACGTTGTGCTAATTGTAGTTAGCCGCACAGACTGTTAGCCGGGAGGTAAACATCCGCTCTCTCGTGGCCGCTTCCGGTTGTACAACGGCCTTTCAAAATAAAAGCATGAACTATATTTTTGGAACAAACGTTTTACTTTAATGCTTATAAACAAAAGTAGCAGAAGTGCAGAAAATACACGAGATCGTTTGCAACACGTTTCCTTCTTTTCATTCATAAATAAAACAACACATGTTACACATTATTAATTACAATCTTCTACATAAATAAACTTTACAACATATAATCCATAAAGACTGTAAATTCACATCAGTCCGTTTGACATTATAATGTGTTTAATTTAGTTTTGTCACATTTGTTTACGTTTAACAGAAGCTAAACTTGAAGCACTGACACCTCAGTCGCAAACTATTGTCTCAAATGGTTCGACGTGTCTGAGGTCTCGGAGAAACACTGACCTCTAGTGGACAAATTTAACCATTGGCACGATGCAGGTGTCTCAGCATCGATGAAGTATTGTTAGTGTTAGACAATACTTGTGTGCAGAGCGACACCGCACCTAACAACAACAACAATAATAATAATGATTTAAAATAATCTGTAAAGAGCAACATAAATAACATGCTGTAAATAAGAAAAGAGGTGTTACCTTGTTTGGTGGAATTAGATCAAAGTGATTCATGGGCAGTGTTGGGAAGTTTACTTTTAAAATGTAATCCCCTACAGATTACAGATTACAGACCCCAAAATCTAGTTTGTAACATAATCCATTAAATTACTTAAAGTGAGTAATGTAATCTGAATACTTTGGATTACTTGATTTGCTGTAGAGAAACAAAGACGAGGAAATCATAACATTAAGATGTTTTGTCTGATAAAAGAAAATGAAAAGCCCAAACCTTCCTTAAACATATAAAAATATTATTGATAGAAGAGGAGAAGGAGCACAGCGTGATTTAGTCCTGTTAAATCCTGTTTTAGTCCTGGTTTAGTTCTGGTTTAGTCCTGGTTTAGTTCTGGTTTAGTCCTGGTTTAGTCCTGGTTTAGTCCTGGTTTGGACCCAATTTTAGAGTTGGTTTAGATGTAGTTTAGATCTAGTTTAGACCTGGTTTTAGTCTTGGTTTAGTCCTGGTTTAGACCTGGTTTAGTTTCCGACAATGAGTGGAATTGCCAAAAAGAAAAAAAAAAGAAAAAAAGGGGGGGGGGGGGGGGATATAACCCAAAATGTGAAAACAGGAAAATACCACCATGTAATCCATTTATTTCAGCAAAGTAACTGTAATCCAATTACCACTCACTGAAACAGTAACTGTAACTGAATACAGTTACTCATAATTTGTACTCTGATTACGTAACTCCGGTACATGTAATCTGTTACTCCCCAACACTGTCCGTGGGCTCTAAGCTCCATTTCTCCGTCTCTTTCAGACTCTGTGGTGTCCGAATAGAGGCCCTCAACACATTTTTTGGGGGGGAGTCACTGATTTACCCAGATACCATTGGAAAAAAAATTGTGATTGGTCCATTTCCGTTCCATTATATTAACCCTTTGTTTCCCAAGAAATATCAGTCCAAGTTTATAACAATTATCTAGAAATTATTACTAGTGTCGTATTTATTGCTCACTGAATAAAAAAAATAAAAAATTACATTAGTAGTACAAAAATGTATTAAATTTTTTTTGGGAGGCCTTAACTGAAAACCTTAAAGACTCTGAGGGTTCAACTCTGTCACAGAGCAGCGTGGACGACAGTGATGCCAAAAGGGCTTTACAGTGTTCTGTTGAAATGGGCTGTCCCGTCGAAATGAGCTACCTGCAGCCTCACATACTGTAACATACTGCCACAAATCTAACACGCACATGTTTACACGCTTAACTGGTCAAAACATACAATAAAACCAATCCACTTTTAAAATGTGACTTTTTACTCCACTTCTGCCTCGGAAGTTCAAATCGAGGCCATTTACACATTACTACTGCGCAGTAGTGCTATGTAGCTCAAATCGACAGTACAGCGGCCCTGCCAGTGAGGTGTCCCTTATTTATTTTTCAGGGAGTTGGCGACCAGATGCCATCGAAAATGAAACAAATACCAAAAGTCGCCAAAAATCATCACTAACGTCACACAATACTCCTCACTACCAACATTTTTAAGAGATATTGGTGCATCTTTTATACTGTAGCAGTTTAGCGCTTGTCAAACCACAGAAGTGCACCGAACACACTGAAGCATCTGAACCAATCACAGAGCGGAACATTCCCTGAGCCAATGAAACGCTTCGATACACTGAAGCGATCGACACGCAGAGCGAAACAGTAGGGGGAGGGACCCAGATTAAATGTACCGGAGTTACGTAATCAGAGTACAAATGATGAGTAACTCTATTCAGTTACAATTACTGTTTCTGTGAGTGGTAATTGGATTACAGTTACTTTGTTCAAATAAATGGATTACACAGCGGGATTTTCCTGTTTTCACATTTTGGGCTAAACCAGAACTAAACCAGGACTAAACTAGATCTAAACTAGATCTAAACCAGGACTAAACCAGGACTAAACTAGATCTAAACCAGGACTAAACCAGGACTAAACTAGATCTAAACTAGATCTAAACCAGAACTAAACCAGGACTAAACTAGATCTAAACTAGATCTAAACCAGGACTAAACCAGGACTAAACTAGATCTAAACCAGGACTAAACCAGGACTAAACTAGATCTAAACTAGATCTAAACTAGATCTAAACCAGGACTAAACCAGGACTAAACTAGATCTAAACCAGGACTAAACCAGGACTAAACTAGATCTAAACCAGGACTAAACCAGGACTAAACTAGATCTAAACTAGATCTAAACCAGGACTAAACCAGGACTAAACTAGATCTAAACTAGATCTAAACCAGGACTAAACCAGGTCTAAAACAGGACTTAACAGGACTAAATGGTGTTTCCTCTTCTTCTATCAATAATATTTTTAATTTGGTTCAGTAAAGTTTGGCCTTTTTATTTTCTTTTATCAGACAAAACTTCTTATGTGAAGATTTCCTCGTCTTTGCTTCTCTACAGCAAATCAAGTAATCCAAAGTATTCAGATTACATTACTCACCTCAAGTAAATTAATGGATTACGTTACAAACGACATTTTGGGGTCTGTAATCTGTAATCTGTAGGATTACATTTTAAAAGTAACTTTCCCAACACTGTCACTTCCACACTTTGGTCATGTGAGCTCCGAGGCAGAGCTTCAGAGCTCCGACTCATTTACCCGTCACTACAAACAAGCAAAGCGGAGAAATCAGAATTGAATATAAACATTATATCGATATATCCGATATGTCAGAATCCATATCGAGTTTAAAAAAATATCGAGATATTTAAAATATCCAGATATCGCCCACTCCTAGTCAAAAGTACCACAATAATATCATGGACTTTCACAATTTATCGAATCACAAGTTCCTTTGCTTAAATTCATAGTTTTATAAAACCAACATCTTATAAACTACATTTCCCATGATTCATTTCAGAGCAGAAAACATGAAGAGATGTGGGTTTAAATGAATTCTTGGGATTATGACGGAAATAATTCACACCGAAATCTTGT